TGGACAGCATATGGTGAGATGTGCACGTAGTTGACATTCCTGACAAATGTCAGCTGATGAAGGATTATAAGATGCGGTCATATATATTGTGAAGGGATTAAATGAGTGTCTGTAAACACCCACAACCTGACGTAATAAATTCTTTTGCTCCCCTCTCGTTTTTCTAAGTCTGGACAGCATATGGTGTGGTGTGTCTCGTTATGTGCACAATCTTCAACACCTTGTTCAATACCTTGACAATAATATTGGTTGTTTGTTACCTTGCGACGTTAATATGATTTTAAAATGTCGCTTCTTAACCGCCTTTGACACACCATAGTGACATTAGTTACGAAACACTTAGTTTTAAACTACTTAAGTTCACCCTTACCTTTTACAAAAAATGTATGTTATTCAAACACTTAAAAATTCGCTGCTATCACCTTCAACCATGCACGCGAGCCACTGAATATATAAACCTGAGACTTGACTTGCAATTAGATTATTTCAAGTTCCTTAATCCACTGCCGAGCCATTTAATCGAGCCACTGAATATAAAGACCTAAGACTGACTTAACACACATATAGATCATTCCTCGTTTTTTCATCCACCGCCGAACTAAACGAGCCAAACGAGCCAAACGAGCCACTGAATATGTAGACCCGCTCATCGTTCTTTCATCCACCGCCGAGCCAAAGGAGCCACTTAATCTGTGGACTTAACGCTTAACGCGCATATAGTTTATTCCTCATCGACAGCTGAGCCAACGAGTCATCAGACGTATGTTCCTTCAAAAGAGACCCTGTATTGCATAGTTGCTCTTTGTGGACAAATCGTATGATTATTCAAAAGAATAATGATAGACCCTTGGAAAGATAACGCAAGATTCATTTTACTAATTATCGAATGCCTTTAAAAGTGATCGTGGCGATGTGAATACTATTGGGACCAAAACTGTACATAATACTGTATTGTTCTCTGTTTAACTTGTTCATGGCGTATGACTACCGGAGTTGCCTTTACTTAGAAATTTAATTAATTTTGGAGATAATAAGTCCGTTTTTAATATGAAAACTGACAATCAAATCATCTCTCCCCTTGTCGGAAGTCCTTTATAAAAGATTCGACGAAATTAACTTGTTTTCATGTAGCCGCTCCTATATTTGAAGAGAGCACATCTTTTTTGTCAGCAAATAAAAGACAATTACTCGGACCCTATGGAAGAGATTAAAAGTAAATTTGTTTAATCTGTAATTGTGTTCTCAACGATTCATGCCTGTTCATAACAATTCATTCAAAATGCTTTTTAATCTTGAAAATTCCAGACTCATAGCAACCTTTACTGAAGTAATTTTAAATACAAATGTAATTTCCCTGTGGAATTTTCCAAATTCAGTTAGGAATTACATGTGGTTTCGAACATCCATGAATTATGATGAACCAAACCCACTTAATTAAAATGTGTAAAAACCAGATGTGTAAATCTCGCAGACTCCTTGAAAAATTTAAAGGTAGAAAGTAATAAAGGTTTACGGTACATGTAGGACAAATGACACGACTGATGTTGTTGCTCTTCAATTTAGCATCGTTCTGAACGTGAGTTTTCCTCTTAAAACAATAACAGATTGTTCTTGTATCAATCACCTATTGTAACAACACTGAAACATAGACTTAACAGATTCCCCATTTCTTTGTTTTTGTAAGGGTTAGGATCGAGCGGCTTTCGTATCGGCGAATTTGGCCCCGAAAGTTCACGTCTTGCGGTCTGGACTTTTGCAAAATATATCATTCCTCATTTTTTTTTCCGTTTAGAACTTTGGATAGCGAATCACATTGTTAGTCTTCAGTTTGTCGCGATTGGTATGAGAGGTTTTCAATGTTCAACATTTTTAGAAAGCTAATTTCAAACTTGGCCCAGCCATTCAGTTTGTTTAGGAAGGTTTATGAAGAGTGCTGTGACGCGGTCACGCTTCTTTATCAAACATTAACAAAGACTGAAAAGATTAGGTAAAATTTAAATCGCTGGAGGAGGAATATTTGCAGCAAGTTCGGAGTTAGAGAAGTGTGAAAGTAGCTTGATCGAAAATAAGGTTCAATCAATGGAACTGCCCAAACCATATATCGCGCGGTTCCGCGAAAGACTTCTTTGTTCATCTCCCGGGGGGCCGGTACTCAACATATTCCTGGGTGGGGAGGTGCGGCACCGCCCCTCATTCCCTGACCCCGTTTAAGACAAATATCGCTGATTTTCCCACCCTGTTTAAGACAGAATTCAGATTTTTGATACCCTGTTTAAGAGATTTAATGTGCCTGGTATCAATGCCAAAATCAACAGAATTCAATATTAATTAAAGTTAGAACTTGTAAAAATTTTGCTGTTTATCTTCCAAGAAAAGATATCCTGTTTAAGACAAAAATTGATAAATCGATACCCCGATTAAGACAAAAAATGATCAATTCGATACCCTGTTTAAGACAAAAATCTCGAAAAACATACCCTGGCTGGCCGCGGCCGCGCGTCCCCATTAAGCCCTTATAAGGGAGTACCCCCCCGGTTCATCTCTCCCCTTCTGTCTAATCTCGTCTTTATGATCATCTTTTTTTTTTCTTTTTCCTGTTTGCTACAATCGTTCAGCCTTTAACTCCAAGTCGCCCAACTCGTGTTATTTGACGGGAGACTGAAACAAGTTCTGCCTCAACACTTCAGTGATTTCTTGGCTCGTTGATACAAGACGGAAGACGATGGCCCGTGTCAAAAAAAAAAAGTTTAGGTAAAAGGAGTACTTAAGGAGAAACTATTGTCGATTAAGCCATGGTAAAGCTTGTCTATTATAATGATATTTATTTATCTTATAGACTTCTGCAAACCTTGGGCCTTGCCTTATTTTTCATTTCTAATTATGCTTTGTTCTGTGATTATTCAAATTTTTATTTGTTTGTGCCTCAACCCTTGCTCAAGGTCTTACGTGCCAGAAATTAAACATGGTTCATCACAGCTCCTTGATAAAACTGGAATGCTGTAGATGCGCCTCCTATATACAACTAGGTTTTTAGCACCCAATTCGATACCCCCACGCTTTACTCTGGTAAAAAAGCATCTTTTACTGTGGCGCGCAGCTGGCACCGCGCCTCCGCCGGGTAAGTGGATACTCAACGAAAAACCCACGAGTCCCTTGCTGTGTGAGATGATAGATAGTTGTCAACTGAATTTTCAAAGTTAATTTCATTGATTTCCGGTATGTCTAAGATCACTAAAAAGATCGAGAGCATTTTAATTGTTTTGTTTTTGTTTTTGTCTTTACAAGTCCATTTTCGTTCCAGCGTCAAATCCGTGTGCCTTTCACCTCTAATTCAGATCTGTTTAGTTCTTTCCCACACGAAAAAAAAAATGTTATGTCAGTGAAAAGGATATATTTTCCTGTGTTTACTGATATAGGGGGTCTTACCCTTTTAATGTGGGAGAGATAGTCGCAACTGGTCTGAAAGGTTAGTGCATTTGGTTGTTCTCTCAAAAGAATCCTCTTGGAAATCTGCCTCTTTGAATATTTCATAGCCCAGTTTGTCTGTCGATGTCGAATTAGCAACAAAGATGCTGATGGTTTATTTTGACTCGCTGGACTACTTTGAAGACTTTGGTGTCGTGGCACAGAATGAAACGATCATATTTACCATTGATGACGTAGAAAGAAATAAAAGTACGAGATAAATCATCTTGGAAAAAGAAACTTTGAAAAAAATCTCTTATATTTAAGCCGATCCTATCCGGTCTATAATATACTTTATTGTAATAGACTTCTCTTTTCGAACTAATTGTTTTTAAAGACAAAGAAAAGAATTGTGCTCAAAACTATTGCAACTGATTTTTTTTCTGTTTACTTTATTCGAATTTAAAAGTAGAATATTCGAATTTCAAATCTGCCTCAATGGAAAGGCAGGTATATTTTTACGGTATCTGATTGGCCACTTTCGAGTGCGATATGACGAGGACTTTCACCTATTTGTTTTATATTTTTATTGCTTTCAATTTTAGGACGATAAGGAGATAAAACACATATTGCTCAATATTTGGTATTAGCACAACGATCGCTGTTTCTTTGGGGTCAAATACTTTAAAAAGCGGCGGACTGTGAACGTTATTTTACTGTAAAATGCTTATCTATCTTTTAACAGAAACTCACTTAAGATAAGCGAACTTTTTCATCGTCGCAGTTTAAGAAAATTCTGAACCAATAACCTTTCGCCTATTGAATGCCTACTGAACCAATAACCTTTCGCCTATTGAATGTAACAGCGAGGAATATTCTGGGACTTTACGTAGAACTGCACCCACGAACGTTTCTGCAGGAACTTTCATGAAATTTGGTCGAGAAAAGACTCGAAGGGATTCACCTTCATTCAACTATTTTAGAGTATCCTGAATCGTTTATCGTAGATTTGAAGACTGATGGAGATGATAGATAATGGAAGTTCCTTGTAGCTCTATAATAAATTCAAAGAAAATCTCATATCAATATCCTTGTGCCAATCAAATTGCCTGAAATTTGCTGAAACAGGTAAATCAGTAACCAAAACAAGGAAATAAAAGTTAAACTCAGCTTATGTCAATGTGTCAATTGTTTAGTATTTTATGTTAGATGGCAAAGTCAGTTGCTAAATTCTTTTTCAGCTGCTGCATTTAAATAAATTTTCAATGAATTGCGAACAGGCAGTTGTCTTTTAACCAACTTTAAAAGCGCCGCGCTGGGCGGAAATTCTTTTAAATAGACTCTACGGGAAAAAAGACGGTCATTCCCAGCCTTGAGTTTCTTAGCACACATGCCTGCTGTCAAATCATTAGTCAATTCGCCATTTCGGACGTCAAAAGGAAATTTGTCTCGAACGTTATTAGCATTCGCAGCACGTTTGTATAAAGTTTCTCTAAAGTTGTGACGTCTTTGACGCACGACATCATCACGCCCAAACGGAATTTGCGGGAAATCGCCTGAAACAATATGCTACCCCACAGATCAGCTTTCAGCGCACGATGGAACTGAATGGGAAATTCAATATCGCCCTCTCACTCTCTCTTCTCCGTCCCTGCTGAGGTGGCTAATTAATTCGCGTTCGAGTATCTATTTAATCTGTTGAAATAATATTTATATGGTATTCGCAAGAGCTTAAACTAAACAGCCCATCCGGGGTAGAAAGAAATCAGAAACATGCCTTGTCTTGCGATGAACTCTTTATCAAAACACAGTGCTTTTTCAGGCCATATTAGGACATACCTTCTGAAGTAATTTTATCTTATATTCGTGGCGAAAAGAACCAAAGTAGGTCAAAATTGAACGTACTGAGTGCTAAAAACACTATTCTTCTTATGCCCATTTAGGTTGATTGAAGTTGCGTCTAACAGGAAGTAATTATCCCGGCAGATGAGAAGGATTAAATTGCTTGTCCTCTGGAAAGCTCATATTTCGCCTGTCTCATGTCCGCAGAAAATTCAAAATATCCGAACCTGCAGCTAGCGGGACGAAAAAGGCACAATTGCGATCGAAGCGCGTTCAATATCTCACTTACTGATTCTATTTACCCTGGTGCAACTTATAAGCAGCTTTCCAAATTATTTTCCTACGTTGACTTAAAACCAATCTCAAGAAATTTGAGAGCTTCACATGAGAATTTGTACAATGGCGCGTTTCATCCACGAGCACTTTTTATCTCTGACGACTGACGGTGAATTGCTTTCGCCTGCGGGCGTTTTATTTTCACAAGCTCCCGCTAGTGAGCCACTTTAAAACCGTCAAAAGCTTCCGTTCGAAAAAACAAAACAACAATTCTTCATGTTACGTGCTCGATTGAGAAATTTCTTCCCATGTTGGGACACCCAATAAGGACAAAAATAGAGCACTTGAAAATAATTTCTGTCAAAGCGGACAATCCTTGGTTAGTCTTGTACTATTGGATTGCACGGTAACTTGAGTGACGAACTTCGTAATGTAATCAACACAAGGTCAGGAATGTTCACTGGTTGCTATGGTTTGACAAGTATCTAAACTCTTGTGATCAGTCATCTTTCAGCGTCGTGACCCCAGGAACGGTGCGGTTGATTTAACCCAAATTAATAATATACTATTATCTATTTCATCCATACTAATTGCAAGCTTATTTGAGCCAATAATTGCAGGGCAAGCGATCATAAAACCCGCCAACGACAACTGGTGTTGTCACTTGAAGGACTTGTGGACGGCTAACGCTTTTAACAGCTTACTGCGAAACATTCCAAGAAGAGAAAAAACGGCCATGGATGCGAATAACTCGACGACGAGTGGAGATCTGAGCATTTGCACGGAGCCGACAAAACCTACTTTCATCCTTTACACTGTGTTTCTCGTGTTAATAATGCTGGCCACAATATTTGGGAACCTTCTGGTTATCACCGCGGTTTATCTCTACCATCGCTTGCGACGAATGACTAATTTCTTCATCATTTCCCTCGCAGTATCTGACCTGTGCGTCGCTCTTGGTCATCTTCCGCTTCGTATCGTCAGCAGCGTGCACAACGGCAACTGGTGCTTCGATCAGGAAGAGGGAGACGTGACAACTTGTGCCTATTGGGTAGTTATGGACACTGTTTTCAGCAGTGCCTCTATCTGTAACCTGGTCGTCATCTCGGTCGATCGCTTTCTAGCTATCACCAAACCTTTCGAGTACCAGAGCCGTATGACCAAGCGAGTGGGGTTTTCTTTGATCGCCTTCGTATGGGTTTACGCAATGCTCTGGGGAGTTTTGAGCCTGGTTAATTGGTCGGGAGGCCCTCAAACTAACATTCAAATCACCTCGACGGATCCACGATCCTGTAGAAAATCTGACAAAATTTATTACACTACAGCGATGGCCGTTGCATTATTTTTGCCGTTGCTAATAGTCATCGTAACGTACTCGTTCGTGTTTCGGGTGGCGTTCACCCAAGCAAAAGCGGTCGCTTCCCTTGACCCAAACAAGGGGAAAAGGCGAATTTTGCGGGAATTGAAAGCAACAAAAACTATTGCTATTGTCATTGGAGTGTTTATTGTATGCTGGCTGCCGGGTTTCATCCTCATTGTCATAAGTTTATGGTGTACGGTCTGTTTTGAACCCTTTCAGAAGAACCCGACACTTGCTCAAGCAATAAGTATCCCATTTGTCTCCGTTTTGCCAATAATGAACAGTTCGTTAAACCCGCTTATTTATACGGTATTTAACAAGGAATTTCGCGCAGCATTCAGCCGAATGCTTTGCAGACGAGGGGAGGCCTCTCGGAACAATACTATGGATGAAGTTTCCGTAACTGAAGCTAACCATTTTGGAACAAGCGCAGAAAGCCGAAGAAGTAACCGCTTCAAATCCTGGATACGAATGAACGGCAAGGCAAAGCAACCAAGTTAAGAGATATTTTTGGAATGAAAATGCAAGTAAAAAAGAGATGGATATGTCGTAATCGGCCGCAATCTCGCCCAACATGTCATCAAAATGGAGGGATTCAAACTCGCACAAAGCAAAGTAATCCCAAACATTTTGACAGCAGAACAAAACATTTCTGTCTTGCCTCTGCCGACAATTTCGTTTTCCTGCGGAGTTTTTGATGGATTAATGCAAAAACAAAGGTTACATATCCATGTGGTTTTATTAAAAAGTATGAATTTCAATCGTTACATAAAATCATTTCAGCTCCGCGGTTTTCCTCTAAGTTAATTTTTGCCGCGAAGTTTTCTTTCGGTGACTTCAAAGCTGTGTAAATTCAAATATACGACGACTCTATCAATGAAAGCAGTAAAAGGACAAAATTCCCGTAGAAAAAAAATTAGGTGCAGTAATTTCGTCGTTAAATTCAGCCTTTGTTTTTCGAGAACATACTGTCAGAAGATTGCGCGGACAAAAGTATAGACTGAATGCAGCTCTCATCCGAAATTTGAATACAAAACAAGTTTTATTGTTCTATCGAACAAATGTACACACAAAAACGCTGTATATGATTGAAAAGGGTTTATTACATTACTTCTTTTAGACCTGTAACAAACGATAGCAGTGTGTCACGATCACACGAGAATAAGTGTAGATTAGAACAGGCATTTGATTCACTAGACATTTGTGAACTAAAGTTAAAAAACAAGCTGTGGCCGGCTGCGTTAATTATGGTTTTAGATTTAACTTTTTAGATAAAACATCGCGATCGAAAATTGTGATAAAATATGGTAATTATTGTTGCATTTTGCTTTATCTTGCGTCGATTACTAGTGATAGTTCCAGCTAAAAAAAGGTCACGTATCTATGTAAATCAATCCTATTCCAGACGGAAGTTTTGTTTTTTTTGTGCATGTAAAATTTCTGTTAATACATTGGTATTACTGGATGTAATAGCATTATCCACGCGCGGGGTTTTGAACAAAAAAAGCAACTCTGAAATTGCCTCATAAATTCACTTTGTACAGAAAAAGCATGACGCTATCTGATAGGATTATAGGGTCGGAACTTTTTGAATTTGGTGTCTGATCGTGTTAATCTTCAGCTGCCTGTGTAAAACTTAAAGAATAAAGTTCCTATTTGCGTCATCCTGTTGTTTCTGCGTTAATAATTTTAAGAAGTTTTAATTCAAATCTTGTTACAGCAGAATGCCTCCCAGCGAGGGAAAGAAAAATTGGATTTAGACATACCATACTGAGAGATATTCAATTCCTTTCTTTTATACTTTCTTTCAAGGTACAATTCCATGGTGAATTCGTGTTAATAGTCACTCACTGTGAAGAATTTAAACACGGCCGAAAAGATGTTAAGACTAACTGACTCAGAACATAGATAAACGAATAAGTAGAGTTGTGACGCTGATCCCAAAAATGCAGTTTCCCATAGAAGAGTTTTATTATTATCTCAGAGACTATGTTCGATCAAGTGAAATCCCCACCTTGCGATTATTCAGTTATCTTCAGCAGCAGAAGGTTCACTTTTTTCGCCCTGTTTTGTCTGTGTCGCGCGCTAAAAGGCCCTTCCACGTTCTGAATCATAATTTCAATAACTAAGAAATAATCAGCCGTGAATTTTTAAAAGTGCAATTGTTCCCTTATTGTGAGAAGTTGTATAAACAAATTGGTTTCAGCAGCTTGGAATCCAAGAGCCCCCGTTTACTTGAATTCATTTTCGTCCGACTTTGATCTTTAAGCTGAGCTAATGAATGCTGAGCATCCTTGAGAACGAATTATCCTAAGCCATCGTCACAAATATATCATTTCTGTATTGAAAAAATACTCTAGAATTCTCGAGTCCGTCAACAGTAAAAAATGATTACATATCCTTTGTGAATTGCTCCTAAAAAGCATTTTCTAAACTAATTTCCGTTCTAATGAAGGCAATAAAGCAGAAGTCAAACCACAAGAATGAACACAATGAGTTGTTTGTTTGGCGTCGATTTGATATTTTGCGAGCAGGCTTCAAGGGCTTTATTAGAATAATATTTCGTTGTCATGGCATCTTAGGAAATCGGTTCAAATGGGTCCTATTGTGTTATCGAATATTGAGCGCACCAAAATTTAATTAGAAAACACAAAACCGCTTCCTTTAGGCTATTGACTTAAGTTTCTGGTTCGTAAGGATCGAGTTAAGAGTGTGACAAGCGAATAAAAAATTGTGGTTTTGTTCTAGATGGTCCACCCACTTTTGGACTTTTGTTACTGAATCTAGAAAATTGACAGAGTGATTACCATACATGCATTCCTTACGATCACGCTTGAGCGAAAGGTATTAAGAGATGTCACTCTTAATTTGTTTGTCCCTTCATTAACGCTTTACTCTTGCGAAATGTGTTTATTTTTGTAGTGGCGTGTTTATTTCAACCTTTAGAATTTCATTTGGGTCCTCGCGAGAGAAGCAAGCTTGAAGATTGCCTTTATAGATAGCTGTGAACATCAGAAAATGGATAGTACTGTCTTTCCAATCTTGAAATTGGGAGCTGAACTTATTTCTACTTGGCCGAAACCTTTCTGGATGCTTAAAATATGCTCCAATTAGATGTAAAAATTAATTACACACTAGCTTTGTTTGCCCTCTTTCGCTTCTGAAATGTAATCACTTTGTTTCAAAGATTTGTCATAACCTTGAGAACCAAAATAGATCTTTTAAACAGACTGCTTCCAAGATTGAGACGCTTTTCTGTTTAGAGTTTATCACTATCTACTCTGTGCGCATTGTTAATGTTTTTTTAAGCCGTTTGTGTTTCAGTGACCATCAAAAGCACAGATTTTAACCGAAAGAAAAATAATTTATCATTACAGCGCACGTTACGCAGATTTTTTGCGATTGATGTCGTGAATGTTTGCATAGAAAAATTATAATAGATCCGCCCAATTTTGTTGATGGATATATTTTCATAAAGCTGTCAGATTTATGTCCCCGATAATAATACTCCTCATTGGAAATATTTAACCAGGTTCTTATTCGAAATCCCTCGATGGTGAATCCTTTTAAGTATTATTTTTCCAGTTGTCAATTCCTTGCGTATACTTGGACCTTTCAACACTTTCAGGGTAATTTGGTGTACTCTTCGTCTATCTGTCAACTGTATACTGATACTTTGTGGAGATTATTGTTGTCTTTTTCTTGAACAATCCGCAGATCGTGTGTCTGTCAATTAGTGTAGTGAATAGGTATTTATCTGAAATCTCATTGTCTTTCGTTCGAACGACGGTGGACATGCCTCGGTTAGTCCCTTGTTTCACCACTTTTCTGTTAATTCCTTTTTTGGTATTTAGAAACTGCTATGTCTATTGGAAGGCATATGTCACACCTGTGAATGAAATAAAAACTCATGGTCATTATCGAAAAGGTAAGAAGGTCAATCGCAGTTCATCTGTGACCCTTTTAAGCTAATGGCTTGTCCGATGATCTTATTTTCTTTTGGTTTCTTTTCTCTCTTTTTTTTTTTTTTTTTTTTGCCCTTTTGAAAAGGGGCGTCGTTGCAAATTCGGTTTTAATAAGTAATGTTTGTGACATGCAAAACTGTTCTCAAGTCAACGGCCCACTTGAAATTAGTTCGGCGAGGCAGAGGAAGACAAAACAGGCAATACCAAGAGGTTCTCAATAGTAGTGAACAAAGTTATCGATAAAAATAATTTTTGGTGCTAACGAAGGAGTGATATCAGTTGACTGTTAGCCGTAAAGTGGCCAAACTTTTAATTATAACCGCAAGCAGTAAAAGCCAACCCCATTGAGACCCTCTTGCAACCTAAGACAGAACGTGAAGTGATCAGGATTATAGGGGATTGAAATAAAATGAGGAATGTAAACTTCAATTCTAAAGTGCAAACTGTAACGTTAACTCAGTCTTCCTAGTCGCCTGAGGAATCCTTCGCCTGGTGAAAGGAATTAATTTGGTTGCAACGAAGAAGCTTATTACCACGATGCGTGCTCAGTCAGGGGGGCTTTAATTTATTAGAAATGCGCGCTATGCCAAATAGCTACGCCCTTTTGACGAACTCTTCCATCATTTTTAGGTCAAAAGTTTTTGTTGCCTTACGGGCATCGTGCAATACAACAAAATTTGAGATCAATTAACTCTTATTTTAAACCCTTTTCAACAAAATGCACTGTCTTTCGTTACGTACGCCAACGGTAATGATATAAATCTTTTAAGCACTGCAGAACACTTCATGATGAGATCAGACGTACAACCCTAGACTGTAATAGGTCAACATCCAGGTGATTTTCTTACGCATATAGCTTATTACCTTGAAGACTGAGATATGTGACGACATCTTGAGTCAGGTGTTACGTCAATGCAATCATAGAGAAATGGGCTGAATAGGAAAGAAAGAAACCTTGATTAAAGCTTAACAAACAGCGAAGAGGTTGAAGTAAGAGTGAACCAAAATTGAACGACAATTAAAAAAGGACAAGATTTCAAACATGGATTGATACGATGAACCTGATGTACTAACAAGACTTTGCCCGTAAATAGCCTGGTAAACACCCTGTTAGAGGGATTTAGTAAATCAAAGAATAGGAGCCGACGGATGGGTAAATGTTTTCCATTTTGGTTTCCGAACTGGAACGTGAAGATTTAAGTAGTCGGTATACTAAATTGTCTGGAAGACGATCTATCGCTTCTACGACAGATTGGATGGAATTCGGCACGCCGTTTAATGAAGTAAAGAAAGAAATGCAAATTTAATGTGCACTTTTACGTTGGCTATTGACGTTGACTTTGTAATAAACCCAATTTTTCCTAATATCAAATGGTCACATGTTCAGTGGTATAGCTTCCTAAGACCATAATTATAACTTAAAGCTCGGCTTGTGATAGGCCAGTTTCACTCCGCGACGTAAGCCCCACCTATCTCCACTTATTCATGATCTTCACTTTAACAAATGGAGAGCAGAACCTGCAACTGTTTGAATGTGATTACAGTAAAGCTACGTTTACAAACTTTAATGACAAGTCGCCATTTGTCATAAGATGTCACTAACTGCAGGAATTTAATTTGTAGTGATCGTGTTTACTTTCGTTCGACACTTAGATCAATACCTGCTCGATATGTGTCGGTCGACCATCGACCTAGAGGCGCGGTGGCTTATACTCAGGGCTCTGTTCAATTAAGATCGAGAGGTCTGGTTTCAAGCCTTTATCAGATCACTGCATCATGTACTTGGACAAGATACCTTACTCTCGCGGTGAAATGTCACTGAGTGAAACTCCTACGAACGACCAGAAATTGACGGGATTTATCTTCGGTGGGCCAACATTCCATTGTTTACCGGCACATGTAAGGCTAAGGGTAGGATAATCGTAAGTCGAAGATTTTCCGTGCTGGCCGCTGGAGGGTTAAACAAGTAGGAGGGGGAGTTATCTAAAGCACAAGAAAGACGGAATAGTAGGAAAGAAGGGAAAAACTGGGGAAGAAGTCGAATCCAAGGATTGTTTATTTGGACCCTCGCGGTGAGTTGGTGGTGGTTTAGTCGCTGCGTACTTCTAGTGGATATGGCTTTGTTTCTTACGTTTTGGTGTAGTTGCTTTAATAAATGGATTGGGATCCTATCTTTTGTTTTATCATTTGACAACACTAATGCATGGATGTTATAAGACGATTCTTGAGAGACTGAAGGGAACTGGGAGGTTACGCAGTTGTACGGGACTGGTCAAAGGTGTGCGCAGGCGGAAGAGCGAGGTAGGGGCAATGCAGAGAAAATTATTTCTAATTACTTTCCCTTGGTATGGCACATGGGAGACAGTGCCCTTTGTCCCTCCAGTTATTGATCTCGTCAATTTTGCCCCTGTCAATGCCGGTCTTTACTGTTAGCAATAGAATTAGGGCCACAAGCGAAAAAGATAAACGCAAGCCAGCAAGCTAAATAACTAGAATCTTTGGCTCTAATCGAGTTCTTTTACAATTTACAACACTAACAGACTAGGTAAGTAGGTGATCGTGGCTCAACGCGTGTGGGGAGAAACGTTGCTTGACGAGACTAAAAACGGCTGCGAGGGAGACTATCAAACCCCCGACAGTTTTCAAAATGGTGGAATGTCATGAGACACCCGTTTGGTCTCTTGACTGAACTGGTCTCGACTCGCGTAATCTGGCTTTTGCTGAACAAATATGGTCGGGTTTCCTCGGATTCATTTATGGTTTGTCGAGTTTAGTTTGATGTTTTTTTCAGGGTCTCAACTCTGCATCTCGCAAAATCTTGCATTTGAGTGAATGAACTGTTTGCGATTTCAAAATGAATGTAATTAAGGGATAATTGAATTGAGTAAAGTGCAATTTTGGTCTGATATAATAATTGTGTTTTCAAAACTGCTCAGTTCAATTAGCGCTATAAAATACATTTCATGCACAATTTATACATGTACCTGCCTATTCTCTTATTTCTTGCCCTCTCTCCGGCCTGTCAATTGACCAGTATACAGCAGTGTTTGGCAATTTTGGCATCACTAAGAGATGTCACACCACATTGCTTTTTTACCACAATACTCTACAACTATATAACGGAAGGCAAATACAGCCATAAACTGCCTTTCATTTGTATTGATCGCCATTTTAGACAAGAACATGTTGAATTATATAGAAAACTGGAAACGAGTTGAGTAAAATCAGCGAGGAGACTGGATCATAACATTTTTACGGGTGTTGTCAATTTTCCTCTCTTCTTTAGTTTAACGATGAAAGGAGACAGTAGCTTTTGATTGAGGTATGGGAAAATTCTTTTATTTTTATACGGTAGCAGAGATGTCATAATTATGCGAATTAGTACAGTAGTTCTTTAAGAACATTCATACACTGTCATATCTGCCATTGAAAACTTCCCTAATTTATTCTACGACTATAGCTACCTGTACCTGAAGTTCTCCTACCATCGTGACACTTGTTCGTTCGATTAAATCATTTGAAAGTTACTGAGAGGTTCTTCTAAAAGCATCGAGACTTTTCTTTCACTAGCTGGTTCAGAAAGAAACCGAATTTTTCATGTTGTGATCACATGATTTGTTGTGTACTTTAAGTCAACTCGACAAAATGCCTCTGAGGGATAGGAGCGACAACATTTTCCGCTTATCCGCCATAAGTGATTAAAAGTCGTCGCTATAATTCAAAACAGCAATAGGTATTGCACTTAAAAAGGACAATAACACTAAACGTTTTAAACATTGTACTTTTAACCGATACAGTCTCTCTCTTGAAAGGCTCTTGCATGCTATCACCAGAATCTGTTAGTTTACGTTTTGTATAATTTGATTTGAACTCAAACAAGCGAATTATCAATTCTTTAATTCTGCAATTTTCATCCAGTTGAAGTCACGTTTGAAGGAATATTATCTTTCACCAATTTAGCTATTTCTTCATGTGCCTTGAGCCATCACCTGCGCAAAACTGGTCTAACATTTGTGGTGACGGCGACGCTCGAGCAGATAAATCTCGACAGCCATAATTTATTTCTCATCGCTGCATAAATAATGCGACATGGTGAAACTTGATGACCCATCTTTTGATTCAGTCGAGAAACATTCAAAATTTATTCACCAAGATATTAACGACAAATTCGCTGGTATTAGAAGAATCTCAATTTGAATTATACAAACAGCGTCCGCTGAATCAAAGCCGTTCTTAAAGTCGACACTCCAGTCTGATGTGTTTGCTAAATCTAGGACGGACTGTAATCTTCTCTTATTGTAGTTTGATGAGATTTACATGCACCGCCAAATTGGAAGTCCGCCGATCGTTTTTCGTACGATAATGAACACTGTAGCTATGTGGGGGTTTTGACTTTTGTTTAAGTTGAATGTAATTACTGTATCAAAGTCATATATCCTTTATTTGGCATTCACTGTGTCACTAATGCACGATATATATGCGTTATTAACCAAGCATGAGGTCAAGATGGCTGGATATTGGCCGTCAGTTTTTCGCACTTTTATGGACCGAGACGAAGCTTGGTATGGCAAAAAGATTTCGCTCTATTAAGAATGACTTGTTTACTTCGAAAGCCGGGAAAGAAAGCCAACTGTGTTTGTAGCACAACAAACGCACGACGGAGAGTCGTTTCTGTTTTCTTTGTTTTGACTATCTTCCACCGTTTTTTGCGTTTCCATCGCCGAAATTGTGCAAGAATAACGGACGTAGTTCTTATTCTATTTTTTGTCATGCGTAGGATCAATGCTGGCAATCCCGTTGCCCGCTCGAGCAGCCTATCAGAACACAGCCGGGATTCGCTTCATCTTGCCCACGGGCGCTACTATTGTAGGACTGCGTGACTCATTGTATTTGAATTCATCGGCTATGATTGGCCGGTTAACTCTGGATGGAGGTTGGGGATACAGAGTAACTCCTCCCGGCTTCAGTAGATTTCTCACCATTTATAGAGGGTCTGGCTGGGGGGGGGGGGGAGGTACAAATGTCAATTGTCAGTTAAAATCTCGGCCATTTATCAGTTGTCAGTTAGATTTTAGGCCATTTGTCAGTTGTCAGTTAAATGACTGTTAATAAATAACTTCGCGAGTTAATTATTACTTCCCCACCCTATTTTTAGCTAAAAAGGCACACATAGCATAAACTCAAAAATTAAGTCCAAAATTGATACAATAAGAACTAATTTTTTCAAATCTGGAATGAAATAATTCCAAGATGTTTCAAGTGACTTCCAGTCTTTGTTTGAAGGGTGTTTAAGTAAGTTACAACTCTTCTGCACACAAACTTTTGATTGCCCGTGCGCAACATTGAAGCATTCCTTTTCAACCAATTTGCCGGTCAAAATGTTGGAAAGAACATTGTCAGAAAGACAACAAACTTGTGAAGAAAACTCTTACACAATATATTGGTTCTATGTTTTGTTTTACAATGCGTCGATTGCGATTAGCTCCGATGAAATGATAGGCAAGGACTGTTCCATCGTCTTCTTTTCAGTAAGGTTGTTAGAGATATCTACTGTTTGCGTACCTTAGAAATCCAAGCAAAAAGGGGCGTAAATTGGCCCTCGTATCTAGAAACTGTAGCACCTGCCACTTCAACGATACAGTCGTCAACAAATGTGGCATCTGTTTCCTTCCGAAGTAGCTTGAACGGCTCCATTGTCGTTGCTGAGCCCTACTGGCTGATCTCCAGAGTTAAAATCGTTCCCTAGTCCCGCCAACAAGTCCACTTTGGTGGAATCTTATTTCGTGAGGATGGTCGGTGGAAAAGCCCCTGGCTTGTCCTTAGTAGTTTCCTCCCGAAGTGTCCTTTGTCCAACGGACGATACTTCTCCACATATTTTTTCAAAGCACTTTCAGTCTCGGGGTTAATCTCTTCTGTTGGCATTTGCAAACTCCATGCTGGTCGGAGGGACATGATAGTAGGATTCTTCATGAGTAAAATACTTGGTTGCCCATTTTGTTACTCTCTTCAACGACTCCTTGGTAATTATTCCAAAGTCTTGGAAATAATTAAATGCGGTGAAGGTCTCATGCTTAAAATGGGAAACTGCGAAAAGATTCCCCACAACTGTTGTGAGTAATGTGCACAATCCAATGTCTTCGAGATAGTCGTTATTGATTGAAGCTATGCTTTTGTGCAGGCGGCGCATTCCTTATTCGAGATGTTTAATTGAGACTTGAGTTTTATTAGACTTATTTTCTTCCGGGGTCATTGGCTGCTGTGGTACGGTATCTTGAAGAGAAATGTGTGCTTCCTCCATGCCTTGGGCTCTGATACCAAACTGTTATGGAGACATCCAAGGAATTGTAAGAACGACACAGTACCCGGCACTGAGTCTCGATGCTAGCTTCATGCTACCTTTAGCAACATCCGATACGAATAGAGTCTTCTCCATAGATCAGATGCCATGAACTTGCGCAAAAGAACACGTTTTATCCATTCCATTTAATATAATTTACCCCGAGGCTGAGTCATATGCTTATTCCTTACAGCTAGGTAAATTAGATGGGCTAGATGACAGAAGAGTAGACCTGTGCTATAAATACATGGCAAAAATGAAGTCCCCCTGCCACCCGCTACGCCATCTGCTCCCCAACCCACTCCTGCATGCACCTAATTACAACTTAAGGTAGAAAACACAAAAGTACTACCTCTTCCGAAACATTCAGATATATAGGAAAAAGAGAACGGAGGACTTTTTTACATTTAAATATTTTAAATGATTCAATAGTTATTATCATTATTATAGTCGTTAATTTTTAGTTTTTATAATAGTTGCCTTAAGATTGTAAAATACACTCGATAATTCAGGTCCTTTACTGCCAGAGAGTTTAATAAACTAGTCATTCATTCCATCACTCACTCCTTCAGTTTCTGACAATACTGAGCCCATCAAGGTTTCGAGGTTTTTCTCAGAAGGATAGAAGAACTTTACCTTTCGATCTGTCGAGTCAGTGAACGCTATCCCGTCTTCAAATTCACAAATTCTTTTGATTTCTTTACAAGAATTCCTGCGAGTTGTTCTTTAGAAGTAGTTCTAAGCTTGAAAGGTTGAAAACGTAAAGACCGCAGTCTAGACCGACTGCTGTAAAGTAAGCTCTTTGTGTGAGATCTTTCATAGCTATGGCATTCGAAATACAGGTAGGTCATGAGTTTGACTCCGGTACCAGCAATACCAACTCCATTGAAATGTAACTCACTTGTAAAATTCCTCTCTGGGCATCGTCTGCACACAACAGAATGTTTTCACTTGTAGTATAGATTGAAGTTGGCTTTTCCGAGAAAGGAGGGCGAACCTGGACAAGCTTCGAGTTTCCGAATCCGCTCTTCCCTCCTGATTTCGGAGCCATGTGATAAAGATTCACCACAGGGGGCACACACAAGCGGCGTCTCTGGTCGTTTGTTCGAAAAATAAAGAAATGTATGGGAGAATATTGAAGAGTCGTAATATCGTAAACTTATATCGAGGAATGTCTATGTTAGGGGTCAAAATAAATGTAAACCTACCTCACTTGCTGTGTATTGTCGTTTCTGTGGTTCTAAATGGCGAATTTGAGCGATTTGGTAGATTTTGCGTTGACTGTTACTTTACTGTATACAGTTAGATTTTGCGTTGAGTGTTACTTGACTTTTTTATTTATTAACTTTTTTGACGCTCTTCTCAATTCTCTGAATTTATCGTGGTGGTGTTCACTGTTGAGTCTTTTAGCTGCACGTCTAGATGTTTCTCGTTTTTCTTCGACGGATGTAGAACTTCTTTATCAATCCAAGGAGGAGTGTTTGCATTTTTTAACTTAATCTTGGGAATGTGAGAGTCGATGATGTCCATTAATAGGAATGCAGCTTCTGTGACGCTTAAATGCCATATCCGAGTCAATTCGATAAAAGCTTACAGGCAACAGCCTTTTTAAATACCAGCATTGACGGCTATCGCGTAAGTTGACGATCGAGTTGAGTATCAAAGATCATATAACCAATATGTTACACATGACCTTGATGTGGATGATCCATGCGGTAATTATTAACGAAATATGAATATAACACTCTGGCGTACTCCCACTGATATGTAGTATGAAACGTACTTTTATTGGAAGAAATAAATCAAATGTTCTTATTTTACATCCAGATTTTAGGACATTTAGGGCGATCCGGTCTTTTGTCAGCTGTCAGCAAAAGCCCACCACAAATATCAGTTGTCAGTTAGATTTTCAGCGATTTGTCAGTTGTCAGTTAACCTCATCCAGACCCTCTTTATATCTACAAGTTATTTTTCTTTTTTACTTACAGTCTTTATCCAAAAGCACCTGCCTTAGAAGGTAGAAGTCATCCTCTCTTGGTATTAATTTAAAGAATACAGGTACCTACTTCAGCATTTGTTGAACCTTCCTATTGAGTAAATCACTTCAACTTGCCAAAACCTTTATTTAGTCCGAGAGTTACTTTAAACTGATATTACAACCACTATCTAACTTTTCACACCTTGATTTAAATGGTGATTCCAAGGACCAAATCAAATTCAAGTTCCACGTAACAATGACTTTTAAGTTATTGCTGAAGATTGGTAGATTATGAAAGACTAAAAATTCGTTCCTATTAGGTTCGATGAAATTAAGTTTATATCTTCAGATCATTACATCAACCACATTAACTCGAAAATGTCTTATTTTCTCACACATTATCTGCCACAAGATCAGGAAGGACTTGTTTAGTTAATTGTATTCCCCGTTTTTTTATCCCTTTCTTGTGCATAGGTTTTGTGCAATTCCTCTACTCCCTTTCACGTACTCCTTTATGCAACTTTCTCCTGTTATCTCTAGGTCTTAAGCATTTTAGAACACCAATATTTAAAAATACCTCTAAATTCTTGGTATCCCATGTCCTCAGTATCTCGAACCCCCTTTTAACTTGAACTCTCCACTTCATGGAGTCCTTTGGTACCTCCAGCCCGTGGAATTTTTAACGCCAAAATATTACTAGTAGTAGCTATCGCTAAGTGCCAACGAATCAGATGTTAATAAGATACTTTTGAATAGTAATAGTAATAGTAATCAAAGTTTAATGTCTTAACGTGAGGCATGGTTACCCATATTGCCCGAGCCAGAGGCTCATGTATGAAACGCAAGACAACAACCCACCCATCCCACCCCAGGAGAGGACGTCCATCACACAGTAATCTCGTGCGTGGGAAATTAACGTCTCCTGACCCCTAACCCTGCAGGAGACGGGACCTCCATTTATTCGTCCCTATCCGAGAAGACTAGAAAATCTAAACCATTTCTTGATGTTATAGAAAGGCAGCATATTCTTCTCAATTATTTTAAGACCTTGAGTGTTGGTCCGGCTGGGGCTCGAACCCTCGACCTCCCGCACATCAGTCCAGCGCTCTATCCATTGAGCTAACCGAGAGGCGGTTGAATCCTTATTTTTGACGCTCAGATTTTTTAAACACCATATTATTACTGATCATGGAAGATCCTACTTTTGTATAATTTTAAAAGAAGCATTGTTTGTAGGGTCTCTTTTGGCATCTGGAAATAGGGTAGGGAAAGCCATTGTAGAAAGATATCAATCTTAAATTCATTGAGAGGGCTAGAATTCTGGGAAGGCTAGTTTATTTTCTTATTCTGTAATAGCTCATCTATTATCAGTTGCTTCTGCGGCTTCAGGTTAATTGGGTTAAGAACTGTACTACTTAACTCTGTCTCTTCATTGACTAGTATCTCATCTACATCAAGTGGACCTCTGTCTGGGTCAATTTCATTATCTTGACAGTTTTCGCTACCATTAATCTGAGGCAGATCACATGGGATTCTTTTAGTTGGCACTCATGATCTATGGTGATTTCTTTATAAACAGGATTATGTTGAACCAACCAATGGAGAGCACAACTCACTTTCTGCCATCTAACTGTGAGGTCTCTATAAAAGTTATCTTTTCCTTTAACAGCGAGTACTATTACTGGTAGTTCCTTAGGGTATCAGGGCAATGAGTCTGCTAGTTCCTGGATGTCTTTAGAAAAATTTATACAGTGACCTTTGTATGCTTTTTTTCCACCAGGCTTTGTAGAAACAGATATGACTGGGAAAACTCGTGCTATTAACATTTCCCCTAATTGAGTAAGGCCTTGCAATTCAATGGCGCTGCGCGTTCGTGACGTCACGAAATTTTGATCCCCTAGAGCGATTAGGACAAACAAACAGGCTTCTCGAGTAAATGAATATGGGTGGTGATGCGCCCATCTGTAGTTCAAACGCCTCTAAAGCTGGTATTTTAAATCAAAACGATGGTGTTCCTGGCTCAAAGTTCGAGCAAGATCAAGAGAACTATATAAACACACAATTGAAGCGTTGGTTAAAGTGTAGAGGCTTGAAATTAAGTGGAAAACGAGCAGACCTCATCGCACGTGTTCGTGACTACCTCAAGTCGGGAAAACATTATGTACTTGATTCAAGTATAGATGATGAGAAATGGCTTTAGGCGAAGATACTAAAGGAAAGTAAAGTCCATCTCGTGAAACTTAAGGATCTAACATTTCAATGTAAAAAGGGGGTTGACAGGCCTACACGACTCCCCAGCGCGTGTTTAGAACAGCCTATTCAAAGTTTGACCCTCAGGAGTATGTCTTTGAGCGATCGCCCTCTTTTTTAAGACACGAGTGGCGGATTTTTGCATAGTTCGCTCAGTACTGGTGGTGTTTCTATTAAATGCCAGTGTCTCATGAGAATTTGCTTTAGGTTTGTCACTGGTGGTTGGTATTGCGTAATAAAAGGCAAGATTCGTTGGTTCGTCTTCGGTTTCTGTTGAAGAGCTAGTTTCTTGTTTTTGAAATTCACCTCTGAGAGGGTTGTGTTAATGAGGGCCTCTGGGTAGCCTCTCTTTAGCAAATGCGCTTTGAAATTTGCAGTTTTCTCCTCGAATATTGTTTGAGAGAAGTTTTTTCTGAGAAGTCTAAGGGTCTCTCCTTTTATGAAGCCTCTCTTAACTCCTTGTGGGTGACAGGAACTACAGTGTGCATACTGAAATGTCTCAGTTTGTTTAAAATGAGTACGCACATCAAGGATTGCGTGCTTTTCGAATCGTTCGCCTTTGTGGATGTATGTCTCCAGGAATGTTGTTTCCTTATCGGAAATTTCAGCCGTAAATTTTATTGTTGGGTGATGATTGTTTGCTTTTTCAATGAAACGTTCTACTGTTACTTTTTTTGTACTCCATAGCGAGAAGATGTCGTCTACGTAACGTTTCCAAACAAGCGGTTTGAAAACGCTTTTGTCAAGGATTTCCGTGTACAGCACAAATATAAGTATTGTAGTTAACACTATCAACTGAAAAATTCTTTCTAGAACACGCATTTACCCGGCATTGACAAAGTTCCAAGTCATGCTTCGGCTTTGGGAACGGTATGAAGCCTTTCCAACCATTTTTAAGCATTTCTTTAAGCGAATCTGGCAATCTTTCTAGTTGTCTTAAGTCATTTTTACATGTACGCCAACAGCAATGCCTAGTTGCAACCATTTTAGAAAGTTGGAGCATTTTTTGAGCGAAAGTAGTCCTGCTTCTGACACGTTTCGCATACAAGTCCTTGTAAAGACTCCGAGTGTTTGTCCTAAACCAGCGGGGGTCCAAAGATGACATATCTATTTCTAGACCTGGCGCGCAGCGCCATTGGTACGTGAGAGGGTATCACATTATTTTGCATTGAACATTTTTTCACAGTATTTTTGTCACGAACACATCCTGAGCAAATATATGGCACTTTCTTTTTAGATTTTCTAGGCAATGGCCATGCCTCAATACAGATCTCACATCTGTTAATTTTGAATTCTTGAACTGTTGCACACAGATCATCATAATATAACCAATATCTCCCTATATTAATAGCTAGAGTGAAATGGTGGCTTGTATAACTTATAACAGCCTTTAATGAATATAAATTCCCGAACACATCTATGTTAATTGGAAACTGGATGCAATTAATACTTTTTGGTTATAATTCAGTGAACAAAAACTTTGGCATTGTACGAAATGCTGGGAATATCACCTGACTGTGTTTGGCATGAACCACAATAAAGAGCCCTGGTGTTAGGTGGAACAGCTTCTGAAACATGGCTTTCAAAATCTGTGGACCTCAGGTTTGGGCACATTATGTAGAACACAATTATGCTTGCAGTCTTTATCATCTGGTTGCCACACAATGAACAACTGGATTGAGTTCTTTGCTGAATAGGGAACAAGGATTTCAAGTCATCAGTTAGATTGGCTACAGTTCGCATTGTGAACATACCACTGAAAACAGCATCTGCAGTCATTCCAATAAATGAAGGGCAGCAGTTTCTGATAAAACACCATAGAGGCTTGCGAACAATATCTATGGCACCAAGGTTTTGCCTTGCACTACACGACTCATAGATTATGTCAAAAAACTCATTATGACTGATATTATGAAGGTGAGTCCAAAATATGGCATAACACAGCTGAAGAAAACAATCAACTGCACACAAAAATTCCCCAAAATGTGTTGAACAGTAATTTTGGAAATGAAAATTACACACTATTCCCTCACAGCTACAATTTAGATTGAGATATGTGTGATTTGTCTTAACAGCCTGGCCTTTTTGTAAATTGTTTATATTCCCATTTTCAATATGTGCCTCCTTGTTTGAAATAACAAAAGGATTAAAACTACCATTTGAAGGGTAAGGTATTCTCCTTGACAAATATCTACCTCTGAATTTGACAAAGGTAACGCTAACACTAACATTTCCATAATCATGTAAACAGGCTAAATCACAGTGATAACTATGGTTATAGTTGAGATGATTATGTAAAAATAACAGCACGAGAAATTTAAATAAACACAGCATTGCAGCGTAACCACGGGCGCACTTCAGCAGTTGTGTAAACTCTGGAACTTGGGGAAATAACTTCAGAAAATAGATCTTTCTAGTCCACTTACATCCGTCTTTTTATGCGTTTAGATGATTACTTTTATATAGTACAAGGCAATTGGTTTTGGGTGTTGATTGCCTGGCTATCTCATCTGGTTGTCATAATTAGCATAAATTATCATAGGTAACGAGAGACCACGAGGTGGAAATAAACATGGCAGTTGTGTTCTAGAATCCTAGTGCTCTTTGTTCGCCGCTTACTACTCTTTCTCCTTAGTCAACTCTACAAATCAACATTGGGTGTTTTCTAAGTGAAACAGCAGCTTAAGTTATATCAAAGTCGTTTGACAGATATGGCTCGCAGGCCGATCAATTCCGATAGTGATATTTTTCTTTCTTCGTCTACACAGTTGTGAACTGATATGAATTGCTTTCTTAGTGTTTGGCTCGCTGGCCGATGTGTGGTAAGCTTGCTAGCTCGAGTGTTTGGCTCGTTGGCCGATTTATGAGCTTTCTAGCGCGTGTGATATGGCTCGATGGCCGAATGTGAGCTAACCAATTCGTATGATGGCTCGCTGGCCGATTGTGAACGCTGAACTTGTTAGCCAATTTGCGAGCTGTTTATGATGTTTGAAACGAGTTTAAGTTCACAAGAATACTTGACAGAAGTGCACCCGCGTATCAATAAATAAACGTAAAATAGCGCCAAGAAGAGATACTTTTACTAACCCTTTGACCTAAAGAATCCAAAGTGACTCGCACTCGGAGACCACGACCACAAGGGAAGTTCAACAGCTGTACGCACATCACCAAAGAACGTACAGGCGCTCTGACTGGCTCTACTCCTCAAAACTGACAAAAATCTTTACAAATCGCAAAATGATTGGCTGACGAAACTTCTATTGTTATCTTATGTTACGCAAAATCGAAATTTTTTCTCCCTGCAGCTCACGCACAAACGGCTCTATAATGCTGCCGCCTTGCAGCCTCGGCCTCTTGGCCTCGGCTGCTCGTTGGTAATTAGATCATTCTATCTCGAATCCCCTGGTCATGAAACCCCCTGGGATTCCTCGAGGTAACCCTTTGACTTTGGCCCGTGGAATCTTTAGCTCCACCGTATTATTAGATCATTCTATCTCGAATCCCCTAGTCATGAAACCCCCGCGGGATTCCCCGAAGTAACCCCTTGACTCTGCCTGTGCATTTTAGTTCCCCAGTATGTTCACGGTAACTCAGAATTTTAAATTTCCGGATATCTCAAATCTCCCATCCCTACCTTTCGACCTCCGGTCTCTCAGGCCTCTAAAGATATCAAACCATGTGATATAATTAATCCTAGAGGCAGGATGCTAACGATCGTTTGTTATTTCCCGGAACTTTAGCCCCGACAAAAGAGGTGACAAAATGAGTGCTGTTAGCTGGATGGTAGACCTTGATAAAAGAGAGCACAAAAACTGGGTAATGGTTGGATGTGCCTTGAACATAACCAAAAATGGAATAGTACAGTTAATCCAAGGGAAAATGGTAGCTTGGTACCAATCTATCAAATCTAGTCCTCCTTTGCAATCACTTCCCCCATGTACCTGTGCACGTCACTCGTCAAAATGTGCCACTTGTAGCGTGTGGAAGAAGGAACTTGAGCGCCTCCACAAGTCCCCACGACCCAAGATTTGTTGGGACAATAGTGATAGGCAACAATGGGGCTCTGCGACGGGGGCATGGGAAGTAGCTAAGCTTTTCATGCCAATCCTTGGAACACGTAAAGGGGACATCGCTGATGCCAACACGACAGACCTAGGAGGACTTCTAAACCTGTTAGAGTGGTGCCCTTTTATCAATCCTCCAGTCAATCGTGCAGTCTTGCGCTCAGTGCGAGACGAGGGTAGAAATCACTGGGCCCACTCTCCAAAGCAGGACCTTAAAGATGCAGACGTCAAAACCATATTCGGACATCTCAATGACCTCCTGAATGATCAAGTGTTTCGTGCTGACAAGACAGCCCAAGAGTCTTCTAAAAGCCTGCAAGATTTGTCTCGTCATGGACTGTTAAACGTTAGGGAGTCCGAAATTGAAGCCTTCAATTTGCTTCGTCAGTCGCTAGTTGCCGACCTTACAAAGTGCAGGGATGACCTATCTAAGATGCAAGAACGAGGTGATTTCAACAGAGAAGAAATTGCGAAGGTAAGGGAGCAACAAGTGGAGCTGAGAACAGAGTTGCATGAAGATCAACAAAGAGTTACTGAGCTAGATACCAAAATAAGAAGAGCAGAAGAATGTTCAGAGAAAGAGATATCCAAACTAAAAGAACAAGCTCGATTGCATGGAGAAGAAGTTGCCAAAATTTTAGAGCAACAGAATAATGTGGTGGAGGAAGCTTTAGACCTTGAAGCGAAAATGTCCACGATGCTGACAGCTGTCGAAAGTTTCAATATCTCACTTAAAAGGCGGAATGATTTGCAGGGTGCCTTAGACGTTATTAGCGAGGATCTGGACGATGTAAAAAGTTCTATGCGTAACGTCGTAATGGAACTAAACACTACACAATGTAAAGTGGCTGACTTAGAAAACAATTTCGAAAGGATCAAATCTGAAGTAAAGGAAGTGAAAACTGAAGTAGAAATGTTAAAAGAGAAATCCCAAACAGAACAGAGTGGGGAAGGTATGGACGTAATTTGTGCTGCGCCAGAGAGATTACAAGAGTTCACTGGTCGTGAGAACGCGCTGGTCTGGTTAGAAAAAAAAATAGTCCTGGATCAGAATCCTGAAAGTCTACCCAAAACATCATGCTGCACCAAAACAATCTGTGGTCTCGGAGGATGCGGCAAGACTTCGCTGGCGGTAGAATTTGCCTGGAGATGGATGAATCACTTCACAGGTGGAGTGTTCTGGGTTAATGGGGAAAGTGATGAAAATGTAAGTAAATCAGTTGCCGAGAACCTTGCTCTCTTAAATGTGGTTGTTTCGTCAAGAGAGAATGTGGATGATTCCCTAAACAGATTTCTGACTCTACTAGCCTATGAAAATCGCCCCTGGCTTCTCGTAGTAGACAACGCAGATGAGTTAAGAAGTCCAAAATGTCCGGCAGGTGTTGAGAAAATATTCAAAGGGCCTTGGCGAAGAAACGCAAGAGCTCCTAAGAATGGACACATCCTGTTTACGACAAGAAAAAATGCAAACGAAACCGCAGCGTTCTTGAGGCTGTCCCCAAATAACTGTCTAGACCTGGAGTGCTTCAGTAATGAGGAAGGTGCCTTGTTCCTAATTCGAAGAACAGGACTTGAAGGGGACTCGCTCTACCAAGGAGCAATTGATTTGGCAAAAGAATTAGGGGGTCTTCCGTTAGCCCTCGAGCAAGCAGCCGCTTACATATCTGCTCTTCCTACTTTGATTACCTTCAAAGATTACCTTGACAAGTATCTACAAGTTAAGCTGCGTCTTCTACAACAGAAGCCGGTAACCGCCCTAAGTATAGAAGCACAGCAACGTCTGTCTGTACACACCACGTGGGAAATGAATTTTTCATTCGTGATTGGAAAATCGCTTGCTGCTGCCACCATGATGCGCATTGCATCCTTTCTAACGTCTGAAAGTATTCCTATAGAAGTCATAAATCCTGGGCTTCCTGCACTGAATCAAGCAGAATTGAGAGAGGCTGCGCGTTCTGAGATTGATATTGCTAACATCCTAGAGGTACTGACCTGTTATTCTCTTTTCTCGGTGGATCAGCATAGCAGGATATTTGGCGTCCACAAACTTGTTCAAGAGGTGGTTCGAGATAGCCTAAGCGAATCACTAAAGGTAGAGACTTTGGTCGCGGCTATGCGCGTTCTTCACTGCGCTTTTACAAAGAGAAGTAAACATTGTGCAAAGTTAACACTAAATGACAGCCTTGGAGACTTGTTGGAAATGAAAGAAGAGGATAAAAATATTCTCATCACCCTTTTATTGAATTTCCGGCAGTTGAAGGATCATATGAAGACACAGATCAAGTCTTCAGAGGGAAATTTTGTCCGTGTCCTTTACAGAGATGAGACCTTCTTTCAATTGTACTCATTTGTAGACCGCTTGGTGGGGCCGAACATATACTTCAGTAGACTGAGAACCGAATTCGCAGATTTCTTATTACAAGTACAAAAAATACATTCTGACGGTGAACCAAATATTTTGAATATGATGGTGAAAGCAAGTGTCAGTAAGAGAAATTGCTTAGACTTACAAAGTTACAACGAGTCAAGGACTCTGGCTGACGAAGCCGTGCAGAAACTCCTTGAACTGGAGGAGTCTGGTGCCATCATCGAAGACGATACCAAATATCGCGTCCTTCAGCACAAAGCTTCCTTTTATGCCTCGGAAGGAAAATGGGAGGAAAATTACAAAGCATTACTAGAACTTGAGAAATTGAGGCTAAGTGCTGGTTGTTTTGTAGAGCTTCAATTGTTGACGGGAAGAGCAGAAAACTTCCAGTCCTCTTGTAATTTCAAACAAGTTATGAAACGTTATCAGAAAGCCTTGAAACGTGCCAGGAGTATGCATCCTCCAGATAAGCCCCTGGTGTTACGTGCTCTTCAGTACATCGCTTGTCATCTCTTCAACGAGGGTAAGCTTCTCGAGGCTAAGCCATACGCTGACGAAATGTTGGAAATTAGCACGTTAATGCCACAGGACTCTGATTTTTACATAAGAGGAATGAACGGCGCTCTAATGATACTCAGCCATTTTGAAAACCAGAAGTCAGAAGACATCCTGTTAAAAATCCTGGAAGAGAGATGGCCACAAATACACAGTGGTGTGATTAACGGTCGCTTGGAAACTAATGCAACCATCACTGAGGATGGTAGCGATGACCACGCATGTCAAGTTTTGGATCAGCTATTTGATTGCATGAGAATTTCAATGATGACAAAACAAGGACACCGTGGTGCTTTCTCTTTAAAGAGGAGAGAAATTTTCTTGACAGTAGCACAAATCTCATTGGAAATTCGGAAGAAATTCTGCGGTGAGGTTCATCCACAACTAATTGGAAATTATGACGCTTTGAAAGATGCATACGGTTTCCTAGGAAATAGTGTGAAGGCAAAGGAATGTTTTGAACTGAAGAAGCAGTGCCGAACACGAACAACAACACAAGCCAACCAAGGCTTGCCGCCAATTAATATCAACATATACAATGCCCGAAGTCTGAAAGATGCTGGCAACAGATTTTTCAAGGAGAAAGATTATTCTGAAGCACTTAAATGTTACACTCAAGGTTTAATTCTATCACCAAACGATGCCAAGTTGCTGAGTAACAAGGCTGCAACAAATGTGAAACTATCGGAGAGGCAATGTTCAGTGGATGATACTCGGAAATACCTTCGAGAGGCCTTACATGATTCAAAGAATGCAATAGCAGCAGATCCTTCGTGGGTGAAAGGGTATTATTGGAAGGCCCTCTGCCTTGCTCATCTTGGCGAACGAGGTCCCTCACTTGCTGCAGCTGCTGTTGCTCAGAATCTGTTTCCGTCTGAGTGCCCAAAAATTCCAGCAGTGGTTGATCGCTTTGGAACTTGTAACCTACAGATCGTGAACTCAGTGCAGGACCTTCAAACCGCAACTGAGAAAACAGACACCCTGAATCTAGTGATTGTAATGAAAGAAGGCAAGTACCAGCTTCCAGAGCCCTTGACAATTCCCGAAAACGGCGTTGTCGTTGGTCTTGGCGAAGTCCAAGTAATGTGCTCTAAAGGTGTTCCACTTAAGTTTGATACCAGCATTTATATGGAGAACATTGTAATGACGCCGACAAGTGAGACTGCTTCAGAGGTGATTCGTCTGGCCACACCCTCGGACAGCGACCCCACAAGCGATGAATGCAAAGTGAACTAACAGTCCTTTGATACCTACTTTGTGTAATGCCTTGAAACTTTATAGGTTTTAATTGAGTACCGTTTAGCGTAGATTTATGATAAAGGGCTCTTCAATTGTTCAGTAATTCATGCTGAGGACGATAGACAAATTTGCAATTAACAAGCCCTCTCTGTCGCTATAGATTTAGAACACTTCAGTTAAGGAGTAAAGGTCGTGAACTTATGACGATAGGGTTGTCTTGCCCCTGGAAAAATTAACTCAGAATTTTCTACTGAACGAAAGCAAGCACGATGTAACAGTGAGTGTTTAAAAATATTATAATACTAATATAGTGGAGCAGCAACAGAGGAAACGTTCAGTGCCGAAATCTAGTAAACGTTCGAATTGAGCCTATATTGAACAATGTTAGATTATGAATGGAACGATTATCACAAAAACAACGTTTTATATTTCTAGACGTTCAATTCGACTTTGGTGTCTCTATTTCTTAGTAACCGGTCATTATCTATAGCCTAGGAGTCAGGGGATATTGATTATTGTGTCACAATCCCCCTGTTAAGGTGGCTGAACACAGTTTTTGATACCAGTGTTTCATTCACCATTTTCTCTTTAACCCTTGATCTCTCGGTCACCAAAACTGGCAGCAAGCAAGTTAACAACACAAACTTTGTTTTTTTGATAGTTAAGCTGACGTATGTGCCTTTGTCATGGCGACATGAATAACTATAAACAGGCAATTAAAATCGCTTTTGTTCATTTGTAGAAAATCTAGTCATTAGTTTTTCTTTATAATTTGCATACAACGAGCTTGTAACGATACTCACAAGTTAACACCATTTTGCTAACAATTTAACAGAGAGATCTTTAATTATCCCTTGTTGAAGGTTCACTCGATTATCTAGAATTTCCTTTGCTAAAAATCATTTTTTTTTCGATACTCCAGTTACTTATTTCCTAAAGTATTTTCGTGCCAAATTTCGTGAAATTCTAATGAATGGTTCTCAAGAAATAGGCGTATCTCCGAGAAAGCAATTTTCCATTCAATCGCAATTTTTCGACTTACTACGCATGCGCTGCATTTAACTGGGTTCTCTCGGTAACGACGAAAAAGCTGAGAATTGCTGGGTTCTTTGCACCGTTAACTTTTCTAACATGTCTTTGTAATAAAAGATTAAAGCCCTCAATACACTGCGCCAGCTATAGAGATAAATAGCACAGATAGTGCGGATACGTTTTGAGTAAATAAAACGACCGCTCTATTGACGGCATGTTTGTTTTTTGCAATCCTTGTGCGCGCGCTGAATTGCATCAGCAAAAGCGCGCTCGAAAACTGTGTTCAGCCACCTTAAGAAGAACTTATGCGCGCCCGACTCGCGGACGCGTGCTTTGGGATTACGTAGCAAATATCGTAAGCAAATCACGCGGACCTTTTTATTTTAAACGTGTGCAAGTTTCTTCTTAGTTTAACGAGTGGCAATTTGTTAGGCGGTCGTCTTCGTTTACCGTGAGTTTACCGTTTAACGCTTTGGACTAAACGTATTTGCTGATTTCCGTTTCACTTCTGAACTCCTCCTCCTCCTTCCCGGCCCTCGTTTACAGTTATTAATATTAGAGAGATTTAGCAAGAGGACGGGAACGTCAGTTGACAACGGCGCGCGCAGCAAAAATACCGGTAAGAAACTGGGTCGAGAACGTCGCCCCGTTGTGTTTCAGAAGTGATTTAGCAGTCGTTGCCTCGAGGCGTCATCGCAATATCTGTTCTTCAATAGCCAAAACTCGGCTTTTCAAAGATCGCCAACACAAATTTTCGCTTTCACAAACAGCTTTAAAGACAACGAAACTATCCTCTTTGAGAGTGATGCAACAAGCGCAAAGAGAGGATAATTATAGTTACGGAAAGTTAGATGTTTTGTTCTGTTCAGACTACTAAAATGTTTTGTTCAGACTATACTAAAATAACTTCAAGCGAAAAGCACATGTAATTTTATATACCATAATAGTAACGCAACAAAAAATGTCCTCAGTAGGGTGGTCCCGTCATAAGTCCAGTCTCACTGGGGGGCGTGAGATCCTCCCACTGCGGGTCCGGGCCCGAACATGTTTATAATATACGAACCACATGGGCGATTAAACTCTATAATTGATCCATTCCAGGTAAGACTCGTGTCTGTTGATTCCTGTATCGAATTTTAGAGCCCATTAGATATTTTTTTTGCGATTTGTGTCGCTGTCTTTTCGTTTCGTGCCATTAGATTTTAGCACTGCTCGTCTTTCTTSGCAATTTTACAAAGTATAATTTGGAAATCATCATCGTTTTTACCCTTGTTCACTGAATATTTCTATTCATTCATGACGGTACATCTCTTTTGAACATTGAATACTTAGAGGTGCAAAGCATTTTGAACGGGGTTATGGCGAAACCATGTAGAAACCAAGCGAGCCAACGACAAAGTTGTTTATGATGAGTTCTTGTTTAACGCTGAAAGAATTAATGCAAGTCACCCATGAAACCGTTAGGCTTAGCATAAGACTTGGTTTCGGTTTTTTGTTTGTTTTGTTTTGTTTCTTTTCGACGAAGTTGTTCAAGACTGAATTAAATTATTTGATTTAGAAAGTCGAAACAAAATTGATTGTCATTTTCTTTTGTTGCGTGAGCACGACTTTCTTGTTTTCATCGGCGCTGATTAAAAAACTTTAAGACCTAAAAAGTGCAAACCCGAGAAAATTCTCAAATTGGTTATCTCTGACTTCAATCCACAAAGCATTCATTCATGATCGGTAAAAACGACTACGACAACAAATAAATAAAAAAATTTTACGGTATGTAAGCTTCGTGATAGTTCATTTGATTGACTGCTCCAAACTTCAACATGCAGCATGGTTATTGATGAATCGATTTACGATAAAATTCAACGGCATCCCATTCTTAAAGTTTTCACATAGGCTTAAAGAAATGTATTAAAGAAAAGCCCTTTTATTGTCTAATGCCTTGCTCATTCAAAAGCAAACTGAGTCCTGAAAGCTTGGATAGCGTGCCAACGATTGTGTTCCAATTTCCTTTCGGGAATCCAGCATATTGAAGCGGCAAGTTTTCAAAAATACACCAATTAACACATAGAAAGGGACCCAATTATCCTGAATATGAGTTTTGAAATACTTCCAAACAGTACTATCTCGTTTGGATCGACTTACAAGTGCACAATTGACGGAAATCTCAGACGTTCTGATCGCGACGGGAAAACCAGCGAAGTGACGTCTTGAACTTGTTTGGGAGAAAGGCAACGCTAACACCGGAAGTCGAATGGTGTCGTGTCCAGACTATTCCGCGCGCTCTCCCGTTCTGAAATGACGTTCTCGTCCTCTTGCTAGATCTCTGTATTGGCAGTCACTACACCCCTCCGTTCCCCCTGAAAACCATGTCGTCCCTCCCCACAAAAAAAATCCACTACCTCCCAGGAGAAAGATATCTGGTCTCTAAGTTTGTTCCCAAACATACATTTCGAAAAAAAAAACAATTAGTAAGCTTCGTAAATGAAAAGAAGAGAGACGAATTTCTTGTGAGGCGCCTAATTTTATCAATATCGTTGAAAAAGAGTGAATTTTGGTGAAAAAGGTTGTGTACTCAGGCTTGACTCCTCCTTAACATCGCAAGTTAAGAAATATCAAAGGCCGCGGATTAGCGTAGATTTGGAAGACAAGTAACAGCATCTACCCTCCCCTCTGAATTAAGAATTAAGAATTTAAGAACAATAAACATTCGTGTCAGATTTTCACTGTCCTCGAATGGGAAATGCACAGCTGCTAATAGACTAATCAAATTGCAGTTGAATTAGAAATCATCAACACGTTTCAAATCTTTTCAACTAGAATTTAAGAACGTAATTTGTTCATTCCTGTGCATACTCTTAAAAGTTAGATTTCAAACTTAAACGTTTTTTTTTTTTTTTCCTTAATATCTTCCTATGCGATTAGTTACCTTCAACGTCCTTCCAAGCCACGCTAGTCATTTGCAAATTTAGCTGGTTGTGTTGGAAACAAACAAGAGATTGACGTCATATAAGGTAAAACAACATCACGTGACGAAATTGAGACTCTCACAGCAGAACTAGTAGAATAACATTCAAGGCATTTTGCGTCGAACCTCCAAGACGAAAGTAAGGTCTTCCTCCGTCTATAGATTTCAGATTGAAGGACTGAATATAACTCTTGAGTTGGTTTGAGCGTTCGAGGCTTCGAAAGGCACTGTAAAGTTGCTGAAAAGAGTAGTAATAACTGCTTCCGTGCTTGATCGAGGACATCCATAATGGCGGACCCTAAACCTCCTCCTTATCAACCACCTCAAGCCGGTTATCCGCCTCCAGGGCCACCAGCGTATCCACAGCAGCCGGGCTACCCTCCACCTCAAGCCTATCCACCACCTGGGGTAGGGTATGGGCCACCACCGCAAGGCTACGGGCCGCCTCCAGCTCCGTCCGGTCAGGCCACTCACACTACCACAATCATACAGCAGCCGCAAACTGTGGTTGTGGGGAACGCGATGTATGGCGAAGCGCCCGTGTCGATGGTTTGCCCCTACTGCACTGCAACCATTGTCACTTCCGTACAGTATACGCCCGGTACACTGGCTTGGCTGGCGTGTGGAGGGCTGATCCTTGTCGGCTGTTGGATTGGTTGTTGTTTGATTCCGTTCTGTATCGACGGCATGCAAGATGCCGTTCATTCCTGCCCGCATTGCCGAAGGCAGCTCGGAGTTTACCGCCGAATGTAAACCGAAGATAGATAGAGAAAGGAAAAAAAGAAGTAGGGAAGGAAAGGTTTTGGAACAATTACTTAACTGTAATTTTTTGTAATTGATTTTTTTGTCTTCTGTTGATGTAGATCGCATCAAAAAAAATACATAATAGTGATAGAGAAGCTTAAAAGACTTAATTTCCGTTTCACGGTCCACGGCCCAATTTCTCTTACTTTGATCGTAGGTAGCGCGGCCGTCTTGATGTTTGTTGAAGAGTAATAGTCATCTCCTAAACTGTGTTTCGTTTTCCTAATATCGAATCTGATAACGGTACTAACTACGTATAGCGAAATGCTTTTTACTGAAATTCACAATTAATGGGTTGGCTGATGAAAGAGAGGAAACCGAAAGCTTGTGATGAGATCAGTGAAAAGAAAATGTAGCCATTATGGCTTTAAGCCTTACTCGGCCGCTTGTGTATCCAAAATATTTTGTATCGCTAAAATATTTAAATGATCAGATAGAGTGTTAACCAGAAGGCGAAGTAAAAAATAATAAAAACTGTTATGATTACAACTAATGCATGGCACAATGCTGTCGAATGAAACTTGCCAATCCAGATTTAAAACGGAATTTCAGGTATTTTCCATCAGCTTTGGAACATGAAAGAACATGACGATGGCTTTGTCTCCAGAAGAGGAAGAAGCCATAAAAACTGATTGAAAGTGAAAAGCATCCACATTTTAAAGTGCAATTGTTGGAAATTTAATCAATAAAATGTTTTTAAAATTTAGTTGAGTCACTCTAGATTTTAAATGCCGATTATCTAGGATAAAATTTGAAAATGGTTTGCATGTATGATGGGATGTTTAACATTTTAAGTTGGTTTAACTATTTCAACCGTTTGGATTCATACCAGGAATATGCTTCACATATTGGAGAATTTTCACACAGATCTAGACTCCAAATTTGGTCAATACCAATAAGTTACAATTTAATCAATTAATGTCCACTTTTTCCTGTATATTACATCTTTGTCTCATTACTGAAGTACATTTGAATTGAGTTTCTCAAACACAAACACAACACACCAATGCTTATCAGAATGAAGAAAACTTCGATATAATAAGACTTGAAAAGGAACACAAGGTGAAAATGTGTAACTAAGGTGTAATTTGCATAGGTTTTGCTCCTAGTTAGTTGAGATGGTTCTGCATATTGGTTATATCCATTGGAGAGAGTTAAGAAGGGAAGAAGATTCAATTCAGTCCCAGATTGTTGTAAAATTTACCTTGAAGTTCCACACAAACCAGGTAATCTTGACAATGCTGTTGTGAAACATCTTTGCAAAAAATGCAATAATCTAGTGTATACATTCCCCATTTGACAAATTATGTTGCTACCATGAACACAAGATAGAGTAAGTTTTATATCGTACTGTTAACATTTTTACCATTACTGGAACTCTTTCATTCACTGGAAAGCTTACATACTTTAATTTTACTTTTTTTTACCAGTAAGAGCAACAGCTTATGCCATTTGCTCTGAGTCCTGTTTAGATCTTACAATGTCTTGTGGGAAATTGAGATATTCTAAAGAAAATACACGTTTGCACACTGAAATTAGAGATAAGGTGGCTGTAGTTCAGAAAAGAAAATAGAATTTTAGATTTTAAAAGGGGAAGATCTCTGGTCAAGCTTCATAGCTGGGTAAGATCTTTGTCAAGAGGCTGAATTATAGAAAACTATCTTTGCTGAATTGAACATCAGAAATATATTTTCAGGGTTAAGTCTTTCAACAAACATCAAGCTTATTGTGATATGACTTTGTGACCTTGGAAAATTACATTGATTTGGGAAAATTCTAGAAAAGAAATCTTGCATTTGAAGAGAATACATCAATACATGCAAATCCTTATAATAACTGAACGACATAAACATTTCATGATTGATCAACTGTATGGTGAGTAATTTTCCCCAAGTGGTTCTCCATAAAAATGGAACACGTATTTTCTGCAATGTAGGGTTATAATTATTAAACCGAATTAGTCTGAAAATGGGTTCAATCTTTTGAACAATGCGACTCTCAAGGGAGCCACAAAAGTGTGGAAACTCAGCTGTCTCTTCAACACCAAATGAGTGATAAATATCAAGGGAGATGCTTTGGGACAAGGTTGATCTTAGTTAACACATATATGATGCTTTGAACTGAAATCTTTGAAGGATTTTTTAGTTTAGATTTGTTGCAAAGCTTGTCCACAATATAAAACCATTTATTTTGAAAACTAGGCAGAATTCCCCTTAAAGGAATTCCACAAGATATCCCCTTGAGCAAAGATTTATCCTCTATCTTGTATCTCTGTCCATGTCAGCGTGTATCCTTTGTGTACTTTACTATGTCTGGTTCTTTTAAGTTTCTTCTAACTGCCCAAGGAAGAATTTTTTCAAGTGAGCGGTAGTTTGGCACGTCACAAAAATTATTCAAATTTTCCTAACCTTCACCCTGTCAACTTTGGGCTTGAAGGGTCCAGCTGTTTTGGTTATCAGCTGTCTTGTGAAGCCGCAGACCGTAACAGTGGAGTCAGCGGTTTTAACAACAAGGAACAAAATGGAGGGGATATCATCGTCAAACGCCGAAGAGTCGGCGACAAATCTAGTCAATTTCACCCTCAAAATGTGTTAGAAGTTTATAGCGGACGATTAAAAATTCCATGATAGACAATGCGGCTGTGATTTTAGTAATGATTTTAAATTGTTGCCAGAGTTAAGTGTGCGGGTTGGATAACAACAACATGGCTCTAGCCCAAAGAGAACCTCAACATTACACATACAAGAGGAAAGTTTACGTTGGAAAAATGAAAAGTCAGAACTCAGGCATCGTAGGGCAGATGATGTACTATTGTAAGTATGGTCGTCTAATTTATGTTTCCGTCGTTTACATGTATCTGCTGGGTAAAGACTGAAAAGCCAGACTGCTAGCTTAATCGAGACAGACTATGTTGGCTGACGGTGTCACGGTATATAGAACGATAATGAAAACTAACAAGCATATTGCTGAAACTTCACCGACTCTTGACCAACAGCTAGTATATATCAGCCAGCTATTGGTTCAAATTCTCCAGGCAAATGAAATTTTTACCAGAAGACAACCGACAATCTTCTTTTGTGAACTGCTCTTTACATTGACCAGTGTTATCCGGGTGGGTACATTTCGTCGACCCCCAGTCCATAGACTACTCTCGATGGACTACCCACATGGACTACCTAAATGGACTACCCATATGGACTACCCATATGGACTACCCTAAATTACCTACCTTCGCACGAGCGAATCGAGTGAAAAGAGGGCTTCATTCTCTTTTGTACCAGACGCGTTCAACCGGCGACAACCTGTTAACAATAAACCGATCTGTTACTTGATAACAAATAACTGCACCTCAATTTGTCGCCCACTATATTCCCACGCTGTTATTAAAGAGAAAACAAAAATGCTTCAAGAATCTACCTGGACTGCTTGATCGCTCTTGACAGATGCAGTGTTGATGTTGTTGTGTAGCTTTAGTTTAAGCTTCAATGTACTGCTCTAATCATCTGAAGATCGCAATATCCGTGAAAATAACTACACTGTAGATAGTTCCTAGAAAGACAAGGAGGAGAAAAAAAAACAGACGTAACATATTTATGAACCACTTTATTAACAATCATGAGGATTTCAATATACTCATCCTCCTTTTCTAATAATTTTATTTCAAATAGCAATTTGCAAAGAGCTCTTTTGAAAGATTTTAGCTGAGGAGTTAGTTCTCACAAGTCTAAGGGCTTCGCCGAAACGACTGTCTGAATAAATGCATGCCTGTGAATAAATGCAAGTTTCTTTGTCCATAAGTGTAACTATTTCCTGCTATGTCAGCAGGAAATAGTTACATTCTAGGAAATATCTCTGGGCCCAGCTCTGCAGTGTAGTTATTTTCACAGATATTGCAGTCTTTAGATGATCAGAGCAGTACATTGAAGCCTAAACTAAAGCTACACAACAACACCAACCATGCGTCAGTCAAGAGCGATGAAGCAGTCCAGGTAGATTCTTGAAGCATTTTTGTTTTCTCTTTAATAACAGCGTGGGAATATAGTGGGCGACAAATTGAGGTGGAGTTATTCGTTATCAAGTGACAGATCGGTTTATTTTTAACAGGTTGTCGCCGGTTGAAGGCATCTGGTACAAAAGAGAATGAAGCCCTCTTTTCACTCGATTCGCTCGTGCGAAGGTAGGTAATTTAGGGTAGTCCATATGGGTAGTCCATTTAGGTAGTCCATATGGGTAGTCCATTGAGGGTAGTCTATGGACTGGGGGTCAGCGAAATGTACCCACCCCTGTTATCCTCTCTTAATTGGTATGGCCACTAGTTGGCTTAAAAAGATATTCAGCAATCTGCCAGCAAATGGCCATTTCTATGCTGACAGGTAATAGATAGACACATGACAGAGGGTAGACAGTCAACTGACGGACAAGTTGGCTGTTTGACAACCGGCAGTCACCTAGGTAGAACCATCTTTTACATTACCATCATCTTAGCCTATCATTCTACATTGATTTGGAGAATATATAAACAATAATAGGCCTATCTCTCTGCTTCCCATTCTTTCGAAAGTATGCAAAAGGGCTGCACTCAATCAAATTATGCCGTTCCTAGTGTCAAACAAAAGGCTATCTACTCGGCAAAGTGGAAATAAGAAACTGCACTCTACGGAAACCTCCTTAATACAAACAACTGATGCTATCTTAAGTGCGATTGATGAGAAGAAAATTACTGCTGTTGTCTTACTTGACATGAGCAAGGCTTTTGACTCGATAAATCATGGAATTTTGCTCAACAAACTGCTGGATATTGGAATTTCGCCATCCAGTGTTGCCTGGTTCACCAGCTATCTCTCTGACAGACGACAAGTAGTGCGTATAAATTCTGCGTTGTCTGATCTTCTACCCATTGTATCAGGCGTGCCACAAGGAAGCATTCTCGGACCTATTTTGTTTAATATTTATGTAAACGATTTACCCCTCGCCCCCCAGTCCTGTCTTACTGAAAGTTACATCAATGACACAAAACTCAACATTTCTTTCCCAGTCCAAGACTGGGCTAAGGCTGTTGCTGATCTTAATGCTGATCTTCTACAGATTTGAAACTTGTGCTTGGCAAATCGTCTTCTCTTGAATCGAGATAAAACTAAGCTTATTTTATACGGAAGTTGACAAAATTTAAATAATATCCCGGTTATTTGTCTCTCCCTCTTAGGAAAGGAACTAATACCGGTGCCCATCGTTAAAGACCTAGGCGTGACTTTTGACTCGAGCCTTACTTTTCCCGAGCATATCAATGTTAAAACAGTTTCCTCTTGCTTCTCAAGTTTAGCTCAAATTAATCGTGTTAAGCACGTGTTTGACAGATCGTCCTTATTGATGATAATTAACACTTTAGTGTTTAGTAAGTTATTTTATTGTTCCTCCGTTTGGTCCAATGCAGCGGACACTAACCTTCTCAAACTAAAAGCAGTCCAGAATTTTGCAGCCCGGATCATCTGTGGTCTCAGAAAATTTGACCACGTGACTCTGCTTCTGAGAGAACTGCACTGGCTATCTTATTGACTATTAAATCCTCAGCTATATCTCAGTGATGCCGTACTTGCTTTTAAATGTATGACCGGCTCCACTCCTACTTATCTCTCGAAGTTTCTAACACGTGGTGAGATAAGTGGTCACACAACCAGAAGCTCCCAACTTCTGCATATACCCCTATATAGAACTAAATCTGGAGAAAGGACTTTCTTTTATCGTACAGTAAGTCTATGGAACAGTTTAGATAATACCCTCAAACTCTGTAATTCTTCTCGTGATTTTAAGCATAAACTTAGAGCCAAATTACTTGCTGCTTTCCTTTCTCATCGCTCTTAGTTGTAACTTTGGTGAACATTTATCAACATTTTAGCCTCCTTAATTTTTCTATTATACTTTTTAGTACTGTAATTTTGTAATTTTTAGATCATTGTCACCGAAAAACCCTCTTTAGAGAGTGTCAATAAAGTTTGTATTGTATTGTAATAGCCTAAATTTTGCACAAGAACATGCATGGATACTTGTTCACAAACAATCTGTTTCAGGATGCTAACAGTTTTCAGGAAAACTGTGAGTTTTATGGACAGACAGTCAACTGATGCATGTGCACAAATATATTATTGATTATGATAATTAATAGTGTAGTGATAGAGGGTGACACATGCAATTTGTCTAACTTAGATAAGTGAATCACATATTGTTACCTTTGGATACAATGTATATATGAAGTTCATATATTTTGAACTGCGGTATTAGATACGTATGATGCATGATCCTCGCAATAGACAGCGCTATTTGTTACCTTTGTCACACATAAAGACATTTGTCGGGGCTCAACATTAACTTTCAACTTACTAGCCAAGTGGCTAGTGATGACTGAGATGTTACAACAATTTCAGTTTTTTTACTAGCCAAACTGGTCAGTGGAAATTGAAAACCACAAGTCAAAACTGAATTTCTACTATTCTAGGGCTAGTTGGCTACCATTGTTGCCAAGCCCTGATGTGTACTTCCCGAATCTTTCCTTCCCTCTTGTGATAGTGTGTTTACGGTACATTGTCTTTTCAGTTGAAATTCAGGTGAACATCATTTTGACTAGTCTGTTTTGTTTTTTCTCTGTTCAAAGCACGTCTTTTGAGAAGTATTCTCAAAACAAAGAAAAGTAGGAATCAAAACCATTTGAATTTACAACATAAATTCAGAAGTTAAAAATATCCCACATGCACAGGTTGACATGACTGATTTCATTTTAACTTCCTGCTTTTTGTTGAATAGGCCTCGAATAAGTACCCACCACTCCTATAATTATGTCAAACAAGTACTCCCTCTCCTCTCTTACTTTCTTAAATGGTAGGGTCTATAAGGAAAACCTGTATCTATTGCCACTTTATTAAAACTTTTTAAGCATCATCTATGGCAGAATCAGTACAAGAGAATGATAAGAAGAATAAGAAACCCCCTTGATTAGGCACCCTTCCTCCACTCTCCACCCCTTTAGCCAAAATTTTAAATAAGCACCCAGGCTGTTATTGGAGGAAATAAGATATAATTGTAGGTACACTCAAGCTGATATAAAATCTTTTCACAGTGTCAGAGGCTCGCCTGCGAGGTAAGATCCAAAGGATAACAGATGCTTTAGATTCAGACCCAGTGGATGTGCCAATACTAAAAGACCTGAGCATCACAGCTGATGGCTACATTGCATTCGACCTGAGGTGTAAAGTATGGTCTAAACTGCTCAATGTCAATACACTTGAGATTTCAAGGAATAAAGACAACAAAGACAAAGAAGGTAAAAACATGCAAACCAAGTATGTGTCTGTATGTGTATGTGTCAACTGTAGATCAGCTGGTATTGCATCCAATTGTGAAATCAGATCTGTCTGAGGTTTAAATCCTACCAAGGAACTTAGCTTTTCTCTGTGTTTTACCCAGGAGGTACTTCTGGAATTTTTCATCTTAAAGCAAGGTATAGCTAAAGGAAGACAAGGGTTTTAATGAGAGCTGGCAAAATTTTCCATCTGTGTCAGGCTAAATAGCCTTCTACTCTCTCTGAAATTGATAACAATTAAGGGTAGATTTCAAACTTCCCTTAGCTGCAAACTTTGCAGTTTGTGCCATTTACTTCAAAACTTATTGAAACCACTGAGAATGTGATAAAGATTGTAGCGTAAATTTATTTTTTCCCCAGACAATTCTGAGTTGGAACAGTTTCGTCAGCACAAATATTGGAGACAAGTAAACTTAGATGTTGATCGATCACACAGGAGGTTTCCCTCCGGTAAGTTAGTCGACTCTACTGTGGTATAAGCTGAAGATTATTTTTGGGTCATAAATTGACACTTATGTTGTCTAAGGGCTTAAAAGAGACACTGAGTGAGTTACGATGTTAAGAAAATACTCATTACACAGTTTTTTTTCCTTTAGTTAAATCTTGTTTTCTTGTGGTTTTCTGTTTCATCTCAAATACACTAAAATTCAGGGCAATAGGGTCCATCCAGGTGATCAAATGGAAACCAGGTGCAAGCTTACATCCCAAATCACTTGATGTTTCTTGGGACAATCTGGGTGATATCTTCGATCACATGGCCTGTATTCTTCTGTTTCCTCTGTTCTTCTGTTAAGTATTATTAATTAAGTATTTTTAAATGCATTAATAATGGTGTACCTTCTTTAAACAGTGTCTCAAGATGACTTTTTTTGGATTAAATGTTTTTTTTTTACAGTAATTTTAATATTTTGATTGATAACAATGTAAGATAACAATAGTTTAGTAGTTAGTAAGTGAATCAAAGGCGAGTGAGTTGTAGTGTTTTGTAATGTAGCTTACCGTTGTTTTTTTTTTTAAGACTCAAGCTGCTGTCCCATCCTACTCAACTACCCAATTTACTGTTAAAAATTTCAGACCTATGCTTACAGTTTTTGTACTTTTATTTTGAATCAGAAATGAAAGCATCAAGGCGGCTTGCCCTTCAAGAACAGCTTGTTAGGATTATCATGAGAGTATTGTGTAGAAATCAGGATCTACATTATTATCAGGTACACTGCTATTTATGAATTCATAATAAACTGTTTGCTATCTATTTGGCAATATACAGTTTAGTCATACACAAAGCTGGACCAATGTGTTGGATCAAAGGGTCCATGTTCAAGTTGTACATTTTGGCAGATCATTGTGTTGGGTTTTGGGGCAAGATACCAGACTATCACAATGCCTCTCTCATCACTGCAATTGGCTAAAGCCGTAGTGGTCTTTTTGCCTGAGATAATTAGGCGAAGCTAAATATATAAACACAAGTGCAAATGAATAGTGTCAAAATTAAAGCAAAGGTGACTATAATGCTGCAGCAGACTTGCATCCCATTTATGGAAATGTTAAGTCAGCAATATAGCCAAATGACTCATCTAGTATATACCTTTTTCTGTAACATGAAGCAACAAGGAGAATTATCACTCCCTCTGAATTGAATGCTACATCCCTTACTCCATTTCAGATTCTCCCAAAAGAAGTAGAAAGATATTATTGTTAAAGAAGGATTTGTTCCAATTCCACTCATTCTCCCACCCTTTTGAGGTTTTGCCATTGAGTACAGTAAGCTTCAATAATCTTTTGTTTTAATGTAGCAGCCAGCTTGGTTTTGTTATGTTTTGAGCTGAAATAAGTTGCATTCTTTGACACCTTCTTCCTGGTTATTCAACTGTTCTGGTATCAAGAACAATGATTAAGCTTGTTCTAGGGCACTAAACTAGCAAGTGAAGTCTGAGCAATGTACTGAGAGGTAGTTTAACAAGCATACTTACATGAAAGATATGTCAATAATGTTCCACAATGTCAAGAGAAACATTTTATTAAACGAAACAACATGACTGGCCTCTTTCTGATCCAGTCAGTGGTCTTAAGCCCCAAATGGGTTGCTGTACATTAGTACAGCTATAAACTCTTCAGTTGCCACCCTATCATGCTCCTGGGTGGAGTGAACCACAGTGAGAGTGAAGTGTCTTGCCCAAAAACACATCATAACAACCTGTCTATAGGTCTTGAACTCAGACCTCCCAACCTCGGCTGCAGTCCAGCATGCACATTTCTCACAATCCCACCTAGGGATGACTAGACCTACCAGTATATAGGTCATTATGATGTGTTTTTAGGCAAGATAGTTCATTCTTACCTCTATAAGTACCTTCACTGTGCAGTAAGTGGATTAAGGTCTTCTAGCTTCTTTGCTGACTTATCCTTTCCCAAGGAGAATTCATTGGTTAATGTAACGAGGGATGCAATGGTTGGATGTGTGAGACCCAGAATGATAAATTATTTTGATCTGCGTGTATTCATGTATGTATACATATACAAGAAGATCCTGGGAACACTGTCAGGAAGGGTCAAGGAGCAGCTCAGGGCAAAATATATAGAAAAGAACAGGGAAGTGAAGAGAAGTATAAAGGCAGACAAAAAGAAATGAATGGAGAACATCACCTGTGAGGCAGAAGAGGCTGCAGGAAACCAACACATGAGGACACTATATGGGCTCACGAAGATATTATGCAATGAAAAACCAAAGCAAACCACCGCAGTATTAGATAAAAATGGAAAGCTCCTCAATAAAAGAGAAGAGGTACGGGAACGATGGACGGAGCACTTTAAAGAAATACTCAATAGGGGTGAAACAGAAAACCCAGTCTTAAGTGATGAGCTATATGATCCGGAATTTAGTGACATGATTGAAGAGATCTCAGTAAGTGAACCAACTTTAGGTGAAGTCAAACAAGCAATAAAAAGATTGAAGAATGGGAAAGTGCCAGGAGCTGACTCTATCAAAGCTGAACTATTGAAAGCAAACATAGAGTTCTCAGCAACAAAAATCCATCAATTGTTGGGAAAAGTATGGACGTTTTAGAAGATCCCCCAACCCTGGAAGAAAGGGTTAATTATCAAGTTACCGAAAAAAGGAAATTTCAGAGAATGCAAAACTTCGAGAGGAATAACCTTACTGTCCATTGTGGCGAAGGTACTAAGTAGAATCATCATAGAGCGAGTAAGAAATGGAGTGGACGAAAGGCTGAGGAAGGAACAGGCAGGCTATAGAAAGGGGAGGGCAACAACAGATCAGATCTTCATCCTGCGGAACATAATTAAACAGGTCAACGAATGGCAGGCAACCCTGTACTTAAACTTTGTAGACTTTGAAAAAGCTTTTGAGTCTATCCACCGAGAAAGTCTGTGGGTAATAATGGCCAAGTATGGAATCCCGGAGAAGATCGTGAAAATGGTAAGAGTATTTTATGACGACTTCAAGTGTGCTGTAGAAGACCAGGGGGAAACATGTGAGTGGTTTAACATTAAAACTGGTGTAAAACAAGGGTGTAATAGGTCGGGAGTTTTGTTCTTGATTGTTATGGATTGGATAATGCGAAGAGCAGTTGGCAGTGGTGAAAATGGTATTAAATGGAAGTTTACTTCAAAACTGGACTTTGCGGACGATATAGTCCTGCTCTCATCTACCAAGCACCAGATTCAGGATAAAACAACAAGGCTGGATGAAGAGGCCAGACGGGTGGGACTCCACAAAAGCGATGAGGATCAATACAAAGAATCAAGAAAAGATCACAATCAATGGACAGGATATTGAATATGTCGATGAGTTCGTGTACTTGGGGGCCAAAGTTTGTAGAGAGGGTGGTGGTATGAAGGACTTAAAGAACAGGTTATCAAAAGCCAGAGGTGCCTTTAACAGGCTAAAGAAGATCTGGATCTCTAATAACATCTTGAGGAAAACAAAACTGAGGCTGTATAAAACTCTAGTAATGCCAGTGTTACTCTATGGATCTGAGACATGGAAGATGAACAAAGAAGATGATAAAGCAGTGAATGCACTCCATAATAGGTGCCTACGAAGGATCCTCCGAATCCGATGGTAAGACCATGTCTGCACCAAAGAGCTCCTGGAAACTGGCAGGCATGAAGCCACTGAGTGCGGAAGTGATGTCTCGTAGATGGAAAATGATTGGTCATATTCTTAGGAAAGATCGTAATAATGATTGCTGTGTTGCTATGAGCTGGACACCAGAAGGTAAAAGGAGAAGGGGAAGACCAAAAACCACTTGGAGACGTACAGTAGAAAAAGAAAGGCAAGAGGCAGGTTGGAGGTCGTGGGAGGAGGTGCGGACAGCAGCAACCAGCAGCAGGAGTGGAAAGCTCTGTGAAGGCCCTATGTGCCACGAGGCATGAAAAGGATTGATGGTGATGATGATACCGATACAAGAATTCCTCTTGGAACTTCCAGCAAAACATCAGAAATCTGTTATTAGCTGCACTGCCCAAAAAAAAAACATTTTATGTTTTCTTCTTTTGCTTAGAGTACAACATTTATTCTTATTAACCAAAAACTTGTGATTATCATTTTAAAAGGGTTACCATGATGTGGCAGTCACTCTGTTGCTTGTAGCTGGAGAGGAGTTAGCTGCAGCTCTCCTTGAGCAAATGTCTCTTCATCAACTGAGGTAAACTGACAAAACACGGAATTTTTTTATTGGGGATTGGAATATATATTGAGTGGTAAACCAGGACCACTGATCTAGGGTTTAGTCCGCTAACCACGGGACCATTGCTTCTCTCTTTGGGAGTTTACTAAATTGTGGCAGTTAGCAGGCCAGCGGGCTCAATAGTGAAAACCACTGAACAGGTGTTGTTTGAATGGTTGTAATTTCTTTCAAGGTTACTGCCTCTCTAAGCGACTCAGAGTATTGTTTGTAATGCCCGTTTGATATTTTTACTGTTCAATTATTTTCCTTCAATATTCTCAAATAATATGTACAAGTAAAACCAAAGAGTTTCAGTTGTTCATTGCTATAGGCATCTATGCTTTTTCATTTCAGGGATTTCATGGAAGGTTCAATGGAGAAGACAACAAAAATGCTGGCATTTTTGCATCCTATTATCGAAGAAGCTGATCCAGAATTAAGGGAATTTCTTGTTAGGTATGTTATTGCCTTTTGTTTCAGCAATGTCAACCTTGGACGTCATGAACTTCAACCCCCTGAATGATTTTCCTTAGTTTTTACCCATGCCATCCACTTGCTATATCACACCCTCAGTTATACAGAACCCACTTCTGTATGACAGAACAAGAAGATCACTTTGCAGGCTCCCAAAGGTACACAGTGTAGGTTAACCAAGTGGTTCACATTTTTGAACCACACCCTGGTTATTATACCATGCAGCTGCCATAAAGTGCACTTTCCTCCTGGATGAGGTGGTATCCCATCAATAATACCCCAATGGTGTACTCATGCTTTCCTAATAGTTGGTAGGTACCTTAAGTCTCTACCCTTGGATGGAGAGAGGCGTTGTTAGAGCAAAATGCACCACCCAAGAACTCTGCGCAATTACAGTGGATAGGGTAACCCCTTGGGTTAGGGCTGGAACCTAGTCCCTTCAATCCAAAGTCAATTGCCCTGACATTAAAGACCATTTTGTCTACCACACTCCATTGCATGCCTGTGAACATATGAATATCAGACACACCCCAATGCCTTACCTAGCATAATATTGCAAAAAATGATAATGGAAGATGAAATAAACAATTTTTAATAGAAGAGAAAAATCGAGTTTCCAGATGGGATTTGAACCCCCGACCCTCCGTGATCTAGTCGGATGCACTAACCACTGAGCTACAGGAGACTCTTCTATTAAAAAATGATAAACTCAAATTTAGTAATTATTTACTCCTTACAATTACAAGGTCTGAAGTAGGACAAGTGTTTGCCCTCAGCTGGCTAATCACGTGGTATGGTCACGTGTTGAAGGATTTTTCCACCATAGTGCGCTTGTATGACTTCTTTCTGGCCACTCATCCTCTAATGCCTGTTTACTTCGGTGCCGCTGTGAGTTGCTGTGTTCGTTATGTTTAACTTTAAACTTACTGGTAGACTTAAGTGAAATTTTGAACTCAGTGCCTATGATTGTGTCTATGTGATTGGTCCAGCAAAATTGCCATCTTCTCTTTCGATCGGCATCAAAACCACAACTAGTCGTGAGTAGGTCCCTCGTATTTTTCTCATGCTTCAAACGATTTTGTAGCTTTGATTAGAGTAAAGATTGGGGCCGATTGAGACCGAACGTAGGAGTATTTTACAACATGGCTGGATGTACTCATCACTCGATTCGATTACCTCCTTTTTACCCTTGTTTACGTTCTCGTACCTAGAATATGTTCATTCGCAAGCTGAAACTGCCATAGAATTTTCGTGCGGCGTGGTAACCATACTTAGGTTTTTCTGCCGAGCGAAGTGTAAAAAAAGAAAAAACACTAAGCAATCATTGAAAACTATTTCAAACATTTTTGTCTGTAGCTTGTCATCCGGCGTCGTTCTGAAGTGCTGGGTGGCGAATGTGAAATGAGCTATGTTCACCATCTTCTTTCTCGAATCCCCGACGATCTTCCTGACTACGTTGAAGAACTTATCACGACTGCGCATTCGCTGTTCTGTAAATTTCCTCCTGAAAAGCTGTCCGGAGCTGTTGATCGTTATCTTAAAGAAAGGTATGTGATATTTAATGACTGTGAATATATGGAAATCATGTATATGAAGTGCCGGTTAAGAGATGAATATCATAGCGATCTTTGCAGTAACGAACACTACTTGAGCAGCAATGAAAACAAGGCCTGAAAAATATGACCTCATGACCTTATGACCTTATGACCTCTGCGATACAGGTACAGTGCTATACCCACTGAGCTAACAAGCCAACTGGGAGCGGGCCATTATGATGGCTCGTAGTAAACCCGTGACGTGGTGAATAAAATGACTGTGAATGTAAGAAAATTATATCTGTGAACTGCGGGCTAAGAAAGGAATATCAAAGCAATCTTCGCAGCAATGAACACAACCTGCGCAGTAAAATAATATACGAACCATCGCCTCGCATCTTTTCTTATCTATACTCTTCATCTTAAAAGTGTCATTTGTTTTCATTGCAGCATAACCGTAGCTAAGCACAAGCAGTTTATACGAGAGTTAGAGGACCAAAGTCCTGATTCCCTTTTAAGAAAAAGGAAAAAGCAACTCGCCCTTCACACAAACAACGAACTTGAAGTTTCACAAAATTTCCAGTCGGCGACACAAACAAATCCTTACATGAAATTCGCAGTGTGGACGTTAACGGCTTCTGTGGGGACTGTGGCTCTTTATGTACTGAGTACAGCGAAACAGTGGATATAAGGAAAGGGAAGTGTCGAGTTGAATGAAACGAGGAAGAAGGTTGGCGGCAACCCTTTCATTACTGTCGCTCGGACTAATTTGTCAAGAAACCTTGACTTGTGGTCAGAACGTCAGAGTGGAAAAGACAGAAGAATTTAGTTGAATTCAAGTTGACTGGAATCCAAGTTCAAAACAAGTGATTACTATATTTTAAAAGGAGAATTTTGTTCTCATTTGTAAACCCTACTTGAAGGAACCATGCTAAATACTTGAGTCAGTCGGAAGGCTTCCTCAAACGATTTCCCCTCATGAGACTCACCTTACTTTGAAAAAAGGAAGAAGGGAGTATCTTCGTCATCTCCATTTCTCTTCGACGAAGTTGTTTTTCAATCTAACTTCTATAAAGTCAGCATGAAAACAGTATACTGCAGATGGACTACACTGTAGTCGCGTTGTCTAAGTAATAGTAAAAGAAAATGATTTTGCAGCAAAGAACTCAGCCTTACGAATTCTTACAGGTGGCATGTAGAAAGACTGCATGTTAGTCTGCTGCTGTGTATTTTATGAGAAAAGGATTGGTACTACCAACAACACGGTCGTCGAACGATTTTTATGCAGGTAGAAGAACTGCTACGGCTTGAACATTTCTTTTGTACAGAAATTATCTGAGAAATGTATAGAAAATGGTGTATTAATGTAACAATAAAATACGAAGTCTTGTTCTGAGGGCTAGTCTCTTTCTTGGGTTAGTTACCAAAATCCATTTATCCCGACCGATTCGTTTACAGAACTGACCATTATCAAATGTATTCTGATGATTATGTGAGAAACTTGGAATATTAAGATAGAGATGTCCTTGGTTTTCTCGAGGTAGGGATACCAGTGTTGGATTTTGGATTTTGGACACTAGTGGCTGATTCAGTTGGATTTTGGACACTTGTGGCTGATGCCGGATTTTGGACTCTGAGGTCCTGTTTTGGATTTTAGACAAAGTGGCCAATCATGGATTTTAGACTCTAGTGTCCGATTTTGGATTTTGGACAACAGAGACCGATTTGGGATTTTGGACACTAGTGGCCGATCATGAATTTTGGACACTAGTGGCCGATCATGAATTTTGGACACTAGAGACCGATTTGGGATTTTAGACTCTAGTGTCCGCTCATGGATTTTGGACACTAGAGACCGATTTGGGATTTTAGACTCTAGTGTCCGCTCATGGATTTTGGACACTAGAGACCGATTTGAGATTTTGGACACTTGTGGCCGATCGTGAATTTTGGACGCTAGAGACCGATTTGGGATTTTAGACTCTTAGTGTCCGATCATGGATTTTGGACACTAGTGGCCGATCATGAATTTTGGACACAAGAGACCGATTTAGGATTTTTAGACTCTAGTGGCCGATCATGGAGTTTGGACACTAGAGACCAATTTGGGATTTTGGACACTAGTGGCCGATCATGAATTTTAGACTCTAGTGCCCAATTTTTATATTGGACACTAGAATTCGATTTAGGTACTTGTGGCCGAATTGGATTTTGGACACTAGTGTGCAGAGGGATAGGGGAACCGTGAGGCTTTCGAGCTAGCCCCTTTAAATTATTTTTTTCTACTATTGTTATCATATGCTATTGTTAATATCTAATTTGTTATTATTAAATGATTGGTTGAATGTCGGTTAGTAACTACTTTCTGAAATCATTTTTCTCTAGGGGAACAGGGTACTCATAATTATGTGGAATGCGGAAGGTTTTCTGTTTTGCATGAGAATACAAATCCTTCTGCGACACTACCTTCTAGCACATTGCGCAACCTCTAGTTCTTTTCATTGCTTTGAACATTTTGCTATATCAGTTGCCACATACAGTCTTTGTATTGTATAATGCTCGGAGGAAAGAACCTTAAATGCTTTAACAAACATCAACGTGAAGATACGGGATGCGAAAAGAGAAAACAATTTCAGAAGTTGTGTTTTAATATACTTTTGATTTTAACTGTCTAGGGTTCTCGTTAAAAGTACACCTATTGAAATGTACATACCATATCTTAATGCCTTCTTCTAATGTCTTCTAAAAAGATTTATACAAAACGTATTTATTTTGTCGATAAGCTATTATAGGTAAACGTCCCGCGAAATTTGCGAGACTACGTTGATGAAACAAATTAAATAACTTTGCTGTTTGTTGAAATATAACTTCATCTTTACAATTTCAGTCATAAACGGTATAAATAACAACACGATTTTCACACGCGCAAAATATTTTTGTAATATCCAACTCCCATCATACAGAAGCCCCCTTTAAAATTTCCAAGGTTAAGTCAGTAAAATCTTCTGCTTGTGTTTTAGTGGTGACGTGTGGAAAATACTCCACCGCCCAGTACAGCTTGCCGTCAACTGTAATAATATTGTTGCCAAATGTATGACCGGTTTTCGCGCCCTGTACACCGAAATACGATCCCGCAATCTTATAGGGACAGTCTTCACTCAGATTAGTGCGCTGCGCTCCGTAATTATTTATGTTACATATGTGGCTTGTACGGCCTTCGTTGTGTTTATATTCGGACATTTTACAGTACGATGTAATGTCAATGCATTGATAAAACTTCAGAGCGTTTCTATGTTTTCCAGAATTCACCTGTGTATGGACATCGCGAGTACACGCACTTGCAAACTGCCAAAATCCTTGCTTGTCGGTGAGGTCAACACTGGGCACTGGAATGGATAACACACTTGCAGAGACGAAAGCTCCGAAATCGTCGTTGCTCACCATCTGCTGGCAGTCCTTGCGTAAACTAACCGAGTACGATGAATCAACGGTGAGTTGAGCGTTTAAGTCATCTGTCTTTTGCTTGAGAAGTCGCACAATTGCTAGATGCGTGGAAGCGGTTATGGCACCGTGCACAGTACACTTGTTGGCCTTACAGTTCTTTATCAAGAGCTTGGTATCCTCCTCAGACAGACTGCGACCAAGGAGACAAGTTTTCTTCATCACCGACGGATCGGAATTAGCAACAGGGGGGTACAACGACAGATACAAGTTCTTTGGCTTGACAAAGATGTTCTTCAGTCGCTGGAAGGCAAATACACTCGAAAACAACAGTCTTTCCCAAATATTGGGTGTAACGACACTCGATGTCAACGATTCAAGAGAAGGTCTGAGGGGAAGACTCTCGACTTTGAAGTGTTCTCCACCGTGCATTGAAGAAAGGAAATTCAGCAGCTGTTGTTGAAGTTTGAAAATAGACAAGGCGTCGCAGATGACGTGATGAAATGTGAACACTAGAGAGTTCCGGTATTTCCCTTCGTAAACTGTCTCTTTAAGTAGCCTTACTCGCCACAGAGGACCCGTTTCAGTATTAAATGAGGGGCCATTTATTTCTTCTTCGAAGCCTCTTTCCCATTCATCAGCCATGATCTCGTCCAAGACTTTAAAGTCCACTGTTTCTAGATTTTCCATTTCTTCAAAGCATGGGTGACTGCCGCTCTCGTTGATTCGCATCCTTAGCAAGGGAAATCGTTTGGGAAGCAAGCTGAGGGCCTTTATTAAGTGTTCTTGTTTAAGTTTTTCCGTAGAATCCAGGAGTAATACTGAAGACACAGTTCCCCATTGATTCACTCTTTCTCTTTCCAGTAACACCCGTTCCAACCAGCCCAGGGGTCTGGAGAGTTTTCCATTTTTCTGTGGCTGTTTAACGGTTGACTCGTAAGTATCTTTCATTTTAAGAAGGAATAGTACAACGAAAGCTTCCAAGATCAAAACACAAATGACAATTGACGCTAGGTAGGACTCGAACATGTCCGAAGTCTCAAAGGTTTCCAAGGCACACATATTTTGATTTTCAATTTCCATTCTCAGCTGGTTTCACAATTCAAACTGACACGAAATAAATTCGCTCTTACTTTTATTGGCTTTGTGGTCTGTTTGCATGAAGTCAAAACGCATTTGACGCTTCCCGCTGTGTCTGTGCGTCATCTGAAAACCACGTCACGGTAAGTCTGTCGAATCATGTCTATACATGGGTATAACCATTAAATGATGAAAACACGGAAGACAAAGAAATGCAAATAAGGCATATCAAAACTACTGTGCAACTTGTACATAGAGAGAAGTTTGAATAAGTATCCGTTTACGAAAAAATCTTTTTGTGACTATTTCATTTTGTCCGTTAAAGGTATGCCCAAGTTTGGCCTTTCAGCTTTCTGGCAGGATTATCTGATCCTAAATCAAAACAATAAAAATGCTTCAGACCGTTTGAGCTTAGATCAGGAAAGAATAACAATAGAAGGTGATGAGATTAAACAGCACTTCACAATGTCACGCGATTGTGTAAACAGCATGTAATGTACTATACCATAATAGATTTACTGATGTTTCTGCCTGAAGTACAGCGTTAAGCAAAGCAGTGTCCTGTACAGTCCTCCACTAATCTCAATGAAATAAAGGCGAATGGAAATTTCATTTGAATCACTCGCGAAAGAGGAAAGAACAAAGTCATACAACTAGATCGTAAAGAAGTGTATTTGTTGTTATGACAACATCGAATCAAAGGCGAAAGCAGTACTATTTTGTCCGACAATATAATTTGTTTCAGGTGGAATTCCAAACGTAAATTGATGCTATTTTGAAACCTAACCCGTTCTGTCATACCAGTTAACGTAAAGGGTTCGTCACAGTGTGAATATTGGATACAATGAATATATGAAGTTCATATATTTAGAACTGCGGTATTAGATACGTATGATGCACGATCCTCGCAGTAGAGAGCGCTATTTATGCAATAGCGAAAATCAGACCTGAAAAAAATCAGGCCTGTACGGGATTCGAACCACTGACCTCTGCGATACTAGTGCAGCGCTCTACCAATTGAGCTAACAAGCCAACTGGGAGCAGGCCGTTAAGTTGATTCGTAATAAACCCGTGATGATAAATCAGATACAATGAATATATGAAGTTCATATATTTTGAACTGCGGTATTAAATACGTATGATGCACGATCCTTCGCAGTAGATAGCGCTATTTATGCAATAGCGAAAATCAGACCTGAAAAAAATCAGGCCTGTACGGGATTCGAACCACTGACCTCTGCGATACTAGTGCAGCGCTCTACCAATTGAGCTAACAAGCCAACTGGGAGCAGGCCGTTAAGTTGATTCGTAATAAACCCGTGATGATAAATCAGATACAATGAATATATGAAGTTCATATATTTTGAACTGCGGTATTAAATACGTATGATGCACGATCCTTCGCAGTAGATAGCGCTATTTATGCAATAGCGAAAATCAGACCTGAAAAAAATCAGGCCTGTACGGGATTCGAACCACTGACCTCTGCGATACTAGTGCAGCGCTCTACCAATTGAGCTAACAAGCCAACTGGGAGCAGGCCGTTAAGTTGATTCGTAATAAACCCGTGATGATAAATCAGATACAATGAATATATGAAGTTCATATATTTTGAACTGCGGTATTAAATACGTATGATGCACGATCCTTCGCAGTAGATAGCGCTATTTATGCAATAGCGAAAATCAGACCTGAAAAAAATCAGGCCTGTACGGGATTCGAACCACTGACCTCTGCGATACTAGTGCAGCGCTCTACCAATTGAGCTAACAAGCCAACTGGGAGCAGGCCGTTAAGTTGATTCGTAATAAACCCGTGATGATAAATCAGATACAATGAATATATGAAGTTCATATATTTTGAACTGCGGTATTAAATACGTATGATGCACGATCCTTCGCAGTAGATAGCGCTATTTATGCAATAGCGAAAATCAGACCTGAAAAAAATCAGGCCTGTACGGGATTCGAACCACTGACCTCTGCGATACTAGTGCAGCGCTCTACCAATTGAGCTAACAAGCCAACTGGGAGCAGGCCGTTAAGTTGATTCGTAATAAACCCGTGATGATAAATCAGATACAATGAATATATGAAGTTCATATATTTTGAACTGCGGTATTAGATACGTATGATGCACGATCCTCGCAGTAGAGAGCGCTATTTATGCAATAGCGAAAATCAGACCTGAAAAAAATCAGGCCTGTACGGGATTCGAACCACTGACCTCTGCGATACTAGTGCAGCGCTCTACCAATTGAGCTAACAAGCCAACTGGGAGCAGGCCGTTAAGTTGATTCGTAATAAACCCGTGATGATAAATCAGATACAATGAATATATGAAGTTCATATATTTTGAACTGCGNACATGCATAAATAGCGCTATCTACTGCGAGGATCGTGCATCATACGTAAGTGTGAATATTATTCAATAAACATTAACCTTTGCTTATAACAGTGTGACGTGCGCTTTAATTGTTTATAGAGTGATAAGATCTTTCCCGAAAACACATTTTCCTTAAAAGCTTTCATTTAACCTAAAAAACAAACTTTGTCTGACTTGTGCCGAGGAATTCTACAGGATATAGGTGTACCGTGTGGGACAGAGCTTGCGTATGAAAAGACACGTCAAGGTCTATGTTATGGTCAGAGTTTTAACCAAGGAAAGTTATTTTAGTACGTTCCTGATCGTATATTTTGTGGTGGTTTCAGTGCAGTTTATTTTTTCTCGGTTACATAAACTTGAAACTAACACAACTTTCCTTCAGCTTCTTTGTTGTCCACTTAAAAGTGCATGGATCATAAGTGCTTGGGACTGAACGAGTCACTCCTTGAGCAAGCGGAAGTCTTTCAAGTTCCTGACTGACTTGAATAATGACTTAAGAAATCTTTTCTAATCTTTGTTTCCTTTTGGGGCTTCGCTCAATATATTTTCCTTTTACCAGTTTGTTTATCCACGACACGTTGTATGTCTTTTTATGATATGTATTTTGTTAAGAAAATAACCCAGGCATGATGTTGAATTTGGATTAGAAAAATTTGGACGTAAGCGGGGGTGTGAAAAGGCCGCCATCATTGGTGTATTGTAAGCTTCCATTTTTAGCTTCATGCACCGGATGCCTTTCTCAGAAAAGTCAACGGCTGATGATCAGGTTTAAGAAAGATAAAACAGCCGTACAATTGCATGATGTTCGCCCATAATGGTCAACCTTTGCGCCCGTTCAGCAGGTAGCATTTTGTCGACTTGTTCCGGGCGACGAGATTATCATGTTAACCCCCTCTTTAAGATTACGGCGTTCTTCACAAAAACACTGGGAAAGTTGCTTGATTGCATATTATCATAAGTGTTGGCCACTGAAAGATGGCAGATTTTTTTTACTTCAGATTAAACTCTAAATGTAAATCGATGTTATTAAAAAATTCAACTTGTCTTGTCATACTAGTCAATACTGAGTTCGTGACTTTGTGAATATTAGTTCATTATAATCCTAAAATATTTTTTGCTTGCTCATTTTTCAATAATCCTCAACCTTTGCTGATAACAGAATGACGTGTGATGTATTTGTTCACTGAGTGATAAGATCTTTTCTCAAACACTTTCTCCATATAAGCTTATTCAAAAACAAAAGAAACACAAACAAACTTTGACTGAAGCGCGCCGAGGAAACGCGTGAACGCTGACAAATGTGTATATCGCATAGAGCTTGCGTATTCTATGGTCGGAATGTTAGCCTCGGATAGTTATTTTTGTTCCTATTCGTATATTTGATGATAATGACATAGCATTTATTTCTCTATCGCTTAGAATTAAAATTAACACAGTGATTTTCCTTCAGCCTCTTTGTTGTACAGAAGGAAGAGCTTAGGAAATAAAGTCACACCTTGTACAACCAGCGGGAAGTCTTTCGTGCAACTTTAACGATGGGTAAAAAAGAAATCTTTTTTTTCTTGTCTCTGTTTCTCTTCAGGGTTTGACTCAATATAGTTTCCTTTTCCACTCTGTTTATATACCTTAGGTCATATGTTTTAATTTGTTCTGTATTTTGTTGAAAAAATACAGTGTGATATTGAACTTGCTTTAAAAAAGTGCCCCCGTAATACGGGTACATGAAAAGCAGCTATGTCATTGCTCAGTGGTGCGGTGTTGTAAGCCTCTATTGTTAGCTACGTGCGGAGGATGCCTTCCTCGGGAGAGCCGCCAACGGCAGGTAGTTGGTCTAAAGGGAAATGTAACAGGCGTAAAATGGCATGACAGTTGCCCTTTATGGTAAATTTTAACGAAAGCACAGCAGGAAGCATTTTGTTGACTTGTTCCGGGTGAGGTAAATTTCTTCTGTACGCCCTCCTTAAGATCGCGGCATTGTTTAATAAAATAATTGAGAAAGTTGCTTGAATCCTTATTTGCATGAAAATTGGCCACTGAAAAAGTAACCCAAACTGAAAATATAAATATATCCGTCATTGATGTACTATACAGGAGCGAACTGTCAAGAATATCCATAAGTAAAAACTACAAGAACCAACTCCGACATCTGATATAAGATTTTCGGTAGCATAAATTTAGAATGAAATCAATTTAGAACAGGATGGAAACCATCTTTTTTCCTGAAAATCTTTGATCACTTTATGGCTTTCTTAAATATATTGTTTTTCTAGTTCCCAATGGTTTCTTAGGGCAGCCATTACTCTCTTCTTAAGTACTTCCTGTAACTATTTAAAATGGATATATAAATGTAGTTGTTGTCGAAGTTTCTGCGTCAGACTTTTGAGCCTTAATTTAGGTGACGAGCAAATCTACCATCAACTTGTAAGAGAGTGCGGAATATTAGTTCTGCAAGAAAGGGAAAACAAAAGACGCAGTGATAAAACAAAAAATAATAATACAAGGATTGCTAGGGATAAAGAAGTGGATTTCAACCTTTAATTGAGAAACAAAGGTCATTGAGGTAGTACAGTGCAAAATATTTACGGGACGATTATGGACCCGCTGAAAAGTCGCTCCGACTGGAACCCCAAAAAACCGTTTCTAAAAGCCATATTTGCTTCTTAGTTCAATGCATCATGAATCCTTTTCAAGCTGATAATAATCCATTAATTACCAGCTGAACACAGAGTATTTCTTGCTAAATGTAAAGCAGCTATTTCAGATTCATAATTTCCTAATGAAGAGTAGGTCGAAGAAAGGGAGACGAACTGCTACCAGAAGGAGGCAGTCCGTTCCAACACATCTCCTTACTTTTTTCACTGTCGCTCACCCCTGGGTACAAATTTATTTCTCTCCCCAGCTTTCCTCTTCCATTAAAATTAAAGATGAAGGCCATAATTTTCGCTAA